GGTTCAACTACTGTAGGGACTGGTTGAACCAAGTCCACAGACCCCCAAACCCAAGGGGGACCAACCCAGAAATCTTCCATTAACAGGCATTAAATAGACATCCAAAGGGGATCTCAGATTGCAGGATAGCATATGTTTAAAAATGGGTTTCCTTATATTTAAGTGTCAAATGAAGCAAACTATTTGATTAATTGATGTTACAAATGTATTCTCATGTATTCTTAATCATATCTTTATTTTCTTATATTGTGTGTAATTAAATGTTTTAACCAATCATAAATGTGCATATATGTACAGTCTGGATAAACAAAAAAGACTTTTTGACCTTTCTTAACTGGCCACTCATTGGAATTCTGCTGATGATTCTCTGATAATTTAGATAATTATGAATTAATTATGGACATGTGAGACAAACTGGTATTTTTATAAGTCATTAGAACACCTCTACTTTCTATTCATATAAGCATTATTTAGCATTTGCATTTTCATAAATAATTGATTAAATAAAAAAGCATTTGGAGGAGGAGCCCCAACCAACTTAAATCAATGGGCCACCTCTCATCTCAACGATACCAGATTATGAAATACAGTGTTGAATTATTCAGTGTGGTTGAGACATAGTATCTGATAATGTTTAATAATCACCAGATTTCTTCATATCGATATATCATCCTTTTGAAAAAAAAACTTCTGTCATTAAAAATGAGAATGCATGATATCTTATGAAAATAACTTGACAAATTGTCTGGAAAAATTTAGGAATGTTCTTTATTAGGTAGATTCCAAATTTATTCTTAGATTAAGGGTGAGATTGATCTTTGTGGTGAACCTATTAACAGTCTAATTTAAATTAGACCAAACTTTCTCTCCTATTATTATTATCTTTTATTTATACACAACCACTCTTAACAGCTCTCTTCTTATTTTATTTGCATGAATAACCTCTATTTTAATCAATTACACTGTTCCTTAAAAAAAGCATGTTTCAACAACATTCAGCATAATGGACTTTCCTTTGTATCACATAATCCCAGTTCACACTGAAAATTTACAGAATTAACCCATTATCTCTCAGCATTTTGATCATGTGGTGTAGAGGGTGAAAATCTGTGACAAGTTTGAAAGAAACTTCTTTTACTCAGCTATAACATACATCAAACTTCAACTTGTGATGACTTCATAAGGAATGAAGATGTTTCACATTGTACATTTTTCAAAAGAGATCAACTGCAATACAATTTGTAAAGAATTTCAGATGTATAACTTGCATCATATGACAGAGCTCCTCACAGATAAATATCACAATTTTCAACTAGAATTATGCATCAGACAACAAAACTGAAAATATCATTGTATAAATCTTTTCAAGTCACAATATCATCAAAGGTCAAGGTCAATGATAATTTTTTACAATTACTGAAAAAATGAACCAGAAATAATTTACTTGCATACTTGTTTTCGCAATCAATTGTATTCTACAGATGTACAAAATTAAGCACATCAGACTCTGTTTTGAGTTTTACTATAGTTGGTCATATCAACAAGGAGGCTGAATCGTTAATTCGTAGTCAGATTATTTTCTTCAAATTTCTGGAAGTGAAAATTTCAAGTTTACAAGCAAATCACGTCAAAGGCAGAAGTAATATCGAAATTTACAAAAGAATTTTTTATTCACAATCAAAATGTTTATCAACATGTAAATTTCAGATCAATCGTAAAAGCTACAAAAGTCAAAATTTTGGAAATGTTTTATTGCCATTCTGTAGCCATTACATGTAGTTCAAAGTAATGAACAAAGAGTCTGATCAAAATCAATTTGAAAACAGAGCCATAAATTGGAAAAACGTAATAAAAATGGTTTTGTCATGTCATTTACGTTCGGACATAAATATGTTAATAATTTAAGGTTGGTGTGTAACTTGAAACAAATTATTTTGTATTTTAGTTAAAGGAAGAACTGTTTGATGAAGGTACAAGACAAGAAATATGCCCAGTATGTCTAGGAATCTTACATAAATGTACTCAAACCAATTTTCTAAAAGAGGTAGGTACCAATATTTCTTATGTTGCATTGACTTATTAACCATGATCTTATTCTCTACTGCTTAAATGTTAGCTAACAAACTCCGTAACTCGTTTCTCAAAAAATCGTATGACTTACGATTTAAGATTAAACTTACATTGCGTTTCTCAAAGACTATGGTAAGTGTCAGAAATAATCTGAAATAAATATTGTCGTAAGACGGAAGAGCATGTGCAATACTGACTCCGTAGCAGATAACCAATTGTTTATGGAATTCGAAGTGACGAGAAGATCAAATTGTACGAAAAGTCAATTTTTCGTTAATAAGGTAACTGAAAAGAGACCTCTGTTAAAACCTCTGTTGGCCTATTTTAGAAAGTTGGCCCCATTGCCTTAAGACAGTCTTCCAGGGGGCGATTTTTAGATTATTCATTGTATATAAAAGGGCTCAGAAAGTTTTGATGATGATGTTATCGCTGTTTTGACGAAAAAAATGGCAGCTCTCAACTAAGACTAAGTCGAAAAAATTTAATTGATCGAAAAGGTGGTGGGTATCTCTTGAAAATTTCTTGCTTAGTCAAAGACACCATTGATTAGTTATTTATTGTGAAAAAAGCAACCATTTGATTTTACTGTCTGCTATTTACGACAGCCTTGACCACTTGTAAGTTTACACCAGAATTAGTCACAAACATACAATAATTTTAATCTTAGGATTTTTGTAGAAACGCCATTTACGATAAAATCAGCACAAATGGCCCCTGAACTCAAAAAAATAAAGTAAAAGTACCAAAAAAAAAAATAGGCCTGTCAAATGAGTATCTTTTGAATCAAAGTCAGTCCTCATTATCTTTCGTTACATTGCTTGAAATTTTTATTACATAACCATTGGATACAGTGACAGATTTAGAACTTTATAAATAAATTATTACACTCAATATATATTTCTTTGGATTTTCTTTTTGATCAAATATGAGGGCTCCAACTTAAATAAGGGAAGTCCCATGTTTTGTCAGTCCATTGTTCAGACCACATGAATTATTGCAATGATCAGAGTAAAAAAAAAACCTTGAGCACCGTGAAGCAAATTGTCATGAAAATGTCAACAGAGTAGTAAACAAAACTGCTTTAAGATGTATTTCTTGTGCTAAGAAATTCTTCGGTTGTTTTAAATTCTAATCTGTGTTATATCTTGTAGCTGTCATCAACTCTTATTTTGAATTATATTGTATATTTGAGAGCTATAAAATATTAAGTATGAGTTATTGCCCTTGTTCTTGAAAACACGTTCCAGAAAAGTAGGATGTAAAACTCTATTAATTTCATTTGAAAACACATTCAAATTTTAGTCTGTAGACATCCTAGAAGGCACAATTCTTAACAGATTTTGCCCAATATTGGTATGAATGTTTGTTATCACCCAAGGATGAACCCTGTTGAAAATCAAAGGAATGGGCCACCTATAATAGACTGAATATGAAATAATACAAACTATTTTCTAGATAAGTGAAAAGGTAAAGAAAGAGGATTATGAATATGTAGATTATATTTGCTCTTTAAATGTTCCAGTATCAACTATTGTTAGACAGGTATAGTTCTATTCTTGTTATTAGTCATCAGCTGACAATGAATTTTACCCCTTTCACACTGTACAACTGGATTATTGAATTCGGTTATAACAACAACAAAACATTCTGATTCAGTTTCTTTTTCATTTGTTTCCAAACTGCAATATCTGGATATCAGTTTTCACACTGCAGAGTAAAGTTTACTAAATAACTTTTTATTTTTAGTTGTCACAGTTGAGGTAATTGAGCTACAATGTTCACATTATAAAATATGAACATGAATATGAACAAAATGATTTTGCATTTACTTTTCAATGCAAATCCATACATTAATCCATTTCTTTTGATTGTTAAGTATTTCTGTTATGACATTGTCACCAAAACAGGAAATGCCATTTTGAGTGTTTATTCAGGTGATACCCAAGGTGATATTGTTATCTGGATAACATTTTGCTTGGTTTCACACTGCCAATTATCTTGATTTTATCTAGATGGATGAAATCCACCTCTAGATATAGATTCTTATAGCTGGATAACTTCTAGTTATAACTTATAACCTAATAAATTTATTTACCAGTGTGAGAGCAACTGGAAGTTATTCAGATGGCATTGAATAGAGCTTAATTATTTTTGAAGTGCGAAAGGAGTATATTTTATTTATCTAAAAGAAAATGGATCAAAGCAAAAATTCAATGGATAATACATTTTTAATATCTGCAGGCTGTGGTACAGGCAGATGGAGGCAACACAAAATTATAAATACCTAAAGAGAAACTTAAATAAATACCTGTTCTGAATCACTATTGTTTTTATCCATAACTATTTTAATTCATGCTTTGGGGTTCTAATTGTTTTTAAGATCACCATGTATATTAAATATTTATGTATCATTGTCCAAACATGAAGTAAAAACTGAATAGATTTTAATAATTTCAGCATTCTGTATTTTTACATTTAAAAGAAAAGTGTAAGTAAGTATAAATTTTCCCAAAGTTCTTGAAGGGATTGTAAAGGGTTTGATGATGTAACTAATAGTAAAATAGTTTATCACATAGGGCCCTTTGCAATTAATGATATCATCAAATAGTTAGTTTTAGTGGAATTGCGGGAATAACAGAAGTCTGATTGAAAATGGGAATGGTGCAAATTAATGCGGAAACACATACAATTTTTAGAAGACCTCTTTACAATCCCATTAACAATTGTTCATTCATTTCAACATGAAATATTTTATTCAAACTGTAGCAAGACAAGAATCAAAGTTGCATCTGGAGAATACAAGTTAACATGAATTCTCAACTTTCCAGAGCAATGCTATTCTGTGATTTGATTTAGCACACTTTTCTGACAATCTACAATATACATTGTTCATTTGAACTATTACTATTTGTAGAGATATCTACAGTAAAATACCAGAAGATGAAATATCCAGTATAAAAGATGTATGGAAGTGGTTATGTGGACCAGAATTATCTTCTCATCTGAAATCAGTGTTTAATCCAAAGGTAATAACAAATTTCATATTATGTACAATATATAAATAGTTAAAGCTAGAAATCTAACTGTCTTTGAATTTCTTGAGTAAATCAAATTTTACTGAGAGTATTTATAAATTAATTTAGAATTAAAAAATTTGAGGACAGAAGGATTAAATCCAGATTTTAAGAAATACAGTATTCTGATTGGATAATGAAACAAACTTATAATCAAGTTTAATGATTGACCAATCAGATGATTGCAACACTTAAATCATCTTATTTAGTGAAGTTTTCAGCCCAAGATTATTATATTATAGTTGAAACTGTCACCTGTTTATGTAAATTGTGTTGTAGAGTCCATTTGAAATATCCATTGTGTTTGACTATGAAGATTCAGATAAAGAATGTAATTTTTTGTAAGTATATGTTTGATAATGCCCATGTGATTTGTTTCAATTTCACTCAACTCCTAATGGGAAACATAAATACTATAAACATTTATGATTTGTTACACAAGTGTAATAGAGTTGAATTGTTTTTGTTTCTGTCATTGATTATTTGCAGAGACTTTTTTTGTTAATTTATAATAAATTACAATATTTTTTTCTATATTTTTATATCCAGGATATCTACCAATCCAAATGAATTTCAGAGAAGAAAAAAGGTAATTAAAAAAGATTAATATGCCCAGACCTGTCTTATTGTTGACTATCTAGCTGTATTTAGGGACCAATAATACTTGATGACGTGAATGGCATATTTTTTATGCTTTTTTAATTATAAATGCTTTATTCAAAATTTCCAGAAGCAGATAAGCTGACATTTTATCCAAGTTTTTTTGTAAATTCCAAAACTAACTTACTTATATGAAACAAAGAAAGGTCTGTCAATCCGGATTGCAATTATTTGCGATCGGACTGTGATTAAAAATGTACCAGATCACCAGCAAATGTGAAAAGTACCTAAAAAATAACTAATTCTAAAACAGTTATCCACAGCTAACTACGCTACATGTTACATTCCTATGGGACGCCTGCAACGATTATTACACACTCGGGCTATTTCTGTTGATATCTTTGGGCTTAGTAGGGTCATACACCACACTTATTTGGTTCTTAAATGTCCTCTGACCTTAAATATGCAACAACAGTTTTTATACGCCCACGTGATCATTTATATTGATGAGATCTTGGACAAGTTCGAATTTGATATTTTGATGAACGATCTTTGAGTTATTGCCCTTGACTTAGGAAAAACGCTTCAAAATTTGTTTGTGAACACATTAGAGACTACAGTTTTCAATCGATTTTAATGAAACATGGTGTGATCATGTATATTGATGCAATAATTTAATGTATTTAGGTTATTGATATTGATTTTCAAATTGAACAATGTCAGGCCTCGCCACCCCCCGTCATTAGGGAGGGGTCCATTGGGGCTGGGCACAGCAATTGAGAATTAAGCTCCATCAAAACCTTATTCAGTTCAGCAGAGAGATTGATACAGTGTCTTTGTACAAAATCAAAAAGATATAGATTTTGGTACGTTTTTGGCAGCTCAAACTTGGCCTTTGGAGTATAATATCTGAGCTCCAGTACTAATTCATTTCTGGCGATGGGACTTGGCCTTGGCATTAAGAGCTTCAGATTGAGGGAATATATTTTTAAGGATAAGCAATAGTATTGAAAAATTCTTACAGATTAAATGATTGAGAACCAACACACTATCAACTATTTATATTAATATTTATTTCAGTCAACCTATGAAATATTTACCAGAACAGCTGTATTGAAATCTGTATCATCTATACCTGATAATTTATTTAAAAAGTAAGTCTAGGGATTATTTCATATTAAGATATTGCTATTTTTAATTCTTAAAGGTGAATAAAAGCCATTTGAAATTTGACATGAAATCTGCCAGAAAAAGTATGGTTTTAGTCTCAGCATTGCTCAGCATTGGGTTCAGATCAAAAGAGAAATTCTATTTGAATCATTCAGATTAAAAAGCTTCAAGAGATTCAACAATAGATCTCATTGCCAACTACACAGTAATGTTTGTTTTCTATAGCTGTATAATATGCATCAAGCATGTTTGTTGGATATCAAACATTTAGGACAACAAGTCTAGAAATTTCACTTTTGGAAAGGCATTTTATTTGGTTGAAAAAGCAATCTGAAACTCTAATCAAAGAATGAAATTTTAAAAATCTTATTTTTCTCAAAAATGTTTGACAGAATACACCAAATCAATTCTATTTTTCAAAAATATCTCACAAGAGAACCCATTCAGACATTCCATAAGAGGGGGGTGACTAGGTGCTTCCACAGTGATACAACAGTTTAAATCTCTATATTGAGAGATGTCTCCCCATTAGATCAGACTCCCTCTATTTGTACCCCCAGTCTCTGTTTGTGAATAGGCTCTCATCTCTCTTGAACATTGTAATTTATATTAATTATAAAGAAATATATCGTGGGGACCGCTTGAAACCTCAACCAATAACTAGTATACTGTACTATTATACGAGGTTTTTTGTTTCCATGGCAGAAAAAGGAACAGTGAACCTTGTATAATATAATATTTTTCGAGGTTTTAAATCTGACTGTTTATATTCTTGTTATTTAATAAGTGCATTTTGGGTTATTTACAATCAAGCTAAGAATACAAATGACCAAATATGGCATATACAAGGTTTCAAGCAGTCACCCATGATATCTGCTATGTGTATCTAAGCTACTCTCACTAACAAGCTATGTCTATTTAGATATTATCAATGTCCATGTATAAAACCAGTAAAAGAAATCAGCTATATAATAGATTGTAATTATGATGCTATATATATAGCAGGTAAGATGTTTATTTAGAATTTCCTAACTTTAAAATCCTCTGATTAATATTTTTGACAGTTGTCAGTGTATGTTAAGTTAGAAACAGTAGGTATTATATTTATTAATGATATTCAGCATCATGATTATTATGTCCAAAAGGGAAATAAATCTTGAATTTCAACAATTTCAATGTGTTTAATTTTGTAGGCCTAAGGGGAATTTGGACTATTCTGTTAGATATGTTATTCATATTTTGAAACAAGGCAAAATATACAGCCCTTTAAACGGTGTTGTAAAAATTTCCTTTATAGGAAGATATAATAAATACAGTAGAACATTGAGTCAAACACCATGGCTTATAGATGGAAAGAGAAAAACTATTTCATCAGTTGAAGAAGAAATTTGTAATTGTTTAACATCTTTTAAAGCTTCAGGTAGAGTAGATTTCACTGTTTATAATGCCAGTCAAGGCAGCGCTAGTTATTTTGCTTCATTTCTAGTTTTTTGGGTTACTTATTCATATTATGATCTAACAAACATCTGTTTATATACAACTTATGGGAACCATAGTGTCCCAGTGAATTGTACACTTGCCTGCAAACTTCGTCAGTGGTCCAATGTTCAATTCCTACTGCAGTAGGATTAAATATTCCTTGACAGTTAGAAGGAATTAAAGCAAGCTTATGTAACTTTTCAGGTTAGCTTCCCTGCATTGTCCAATGTCCATCCTCATTAGTGCAATTAAAGATGCGTTTTATGAAAACATGTAAAAATAACTTAGTTTGATGAATTATTACTTAGTTTAATGGATTTATTGGATTATAGAGTGATTCTGTTGTATAGTTATGACACCAGTTAAATCCACTGATGAACAAAGACTCATTTTGTTCAATTTTAAAAAAATTTTTTGTCATCCCTAAGAGGTAGTTTACCTTTAACTTAAACTGGATTTATCTTTATGTCTACCTTTCTAACAATTTCAGAATTTCGTTTTTCATCATCTGGTAGAGAAGATGTAGATGTTAGAATGTTGGGTAATGGTAAGTTTGTTAGTTTCGTATTTTTGTTTTCCAGTCAGATTTGCTAGAACATTATAAAATAACAATATTACGAGACTATGAGAACATAATGAAATAAATAAGTCATTATTAATATTATTATATTTAAGGCCGACCATTCATAGTAGAGATAATGAATTCACACAGAAATACTGTAGTTAGTACTTTGCCAGATATACAGAAGGTATGTAAATTGTTTTTCTTCATTATTTATTTTTTCAGAATAATTTAATATCTTAATGCCTGAAAATACACGTTTTTCAGGGACAGATTCGCCATCAGTTTTGACTAACTGTACATTATTCTGAGAAATTGGAATTGAATAAGCAGCTCACCATCAAAATTTGAGCCTTGAGTCAAATCCATGTAAAATTATTTGTATTAGAAAATGACTCGGCTTTTCGCAAGACTTGGCCATATATAGAAAAGACTTACATACAAATAGAAAATATATTTCTTAGAGGAATTTTTGAAAGTATTTGATTTTCGTACATATCTAGTACTATTTATATATTTTCAAGACCAAAAACGGACCCTGGAAATGGCGAACTGACCCTTTAAAATATTGGCACATTTAAGCTATTTTAGACATGGCTGGTAATATCAGATTGCATGTGAACTTTATGATTTTAATATTACAGCAGATCAATGAGACATCTGATGTGGTTAAAGTAAGAGATTTACAGTTGGTCACAAGGTAAGATTATACTGTAATTATAGAAATATTATATGTAAAGTCATTATTCAATAAACTCTATGAAGGCAGCCATTTTGGAAATTTTGACATCATGTAGCAATAAGTACCATATATTATGGTAATGGAAATACTTTTGCCACAACATGATGCCATACTATCTATGGATTCAAAGTTAGATTTAATTGTTACTTTTTGATTGATAGAATTTCCGTATTTAGATTCCTGGTATTATATATTGTATTTGTTATAGAGATGATACTGTAAAGTTAAAAGAAGGGGAAGGAGAGAAGAATAAATGTTATTTAGCATTATGTTGGTCATCAGAAGTTTTAACTGATGAACACAAACATTCTATTAGTCAACAAAAGGTTTGGACATATTAATGCTATCAATTTCATTGATCTTTCGATGCAAAATAAATATCTGATGATGCATTCGTTACCTCTGTGATGATTATAAATGCTCTTTATGTAGTTTTTGTGAATTTACACAAACAGAACTACGCAGATTTATACAGTGTCCACAGGTTTTTGCTGTTTATACATCGATAAACTGAAAAATTGTTCAGGTCATTCCTTATAATTAAATCAACTCAAATAAGTGTTTAAATATTTATGTAATATAACAACAACTTAAGGCACTAAATTGGTGCATAAAATTTTAACATAACATTAAACAACTGATACTAACAATAGACACGTCCTAGAGAACAGCCAATCAAAAATAAGTAGGTCACCTATTTATAGTCTACTGTTTACTACGTGGAAGTTGACGGAGCGGCAAAATTGGAAGTTCATTTATTGAAAGACGAGTTCTAAATAAGTCCAGAATTCATGATATTGTTGGAATTTGGAGTGTGCACATTTGAGGGAATTTAGAAAATACCTTTATCATTCAGTGATGTCTCGAAGGAACGACATCGATGCCGTGAAGTGGCCACGTCAATCAAACTCAATGATAAACGTAGTCCGTTAAGGGGCTGAGCTTATATTTCCATACAGTTTACACAGATATAAACCTAATGCATGTGACTACTGTTATACAATCAAATAGCGTGATACCGTGTAAACAGAATCGTGATTTAATTATTATAATTTATGGCTTAAATATCGAATGTGCTATCTTTTAGAAAGTATTTAACATTTGTCATATTGTTATTTCAGGATTTAGAAGTACACCAGAAAACACCATTAAGAGTTTTACATAGGTAAGATTATTGTGTTAAGGGGATTCTAAAGAAGTTTTCTGGTTTTCTATTTGCACAATTCTGATTTATGGTTTGCAGAGATTTTTTCAATGACAGTACAAAAACAAATCTTGTTCCTACACTTTGAAAGATGGTCAATTAGTGATGTATGGATGCCTGTATTTTACTGTGACGTAAATTGAATCAAGATTATTGATTTCTGGTCCAGAATAAAAGACATAATAGTACCAATGGTTCAATTTCAGGAGATCACAAGCTACCAGACTAAAAATAGTTCATTCAATGAATGTTGAAGATGTGAAGGGGAATTATTTTAAACTAAATATTTCCACTCAAGCTGGAACGTATCCTTTTTTACTGTGATATGTTAAAAAAATTCATACTATTTGTTTGAAAAATGAACGCGAAATATTAATCAATGAAAATGTCAAGGAAGGAATTTTTTGAGAAAAAAAATATTATAGTAAAAATAGAAAAAAATTAATCAAATTATGAACATGTTTGTACCTAATTGTAAGAAGAGATAAATATATTTTTGGTCACATTTCTTACAATTATGGTAACCATCAAGTCAAACTTTTGTTCTTGTTTCAAAATGGCATAGGATTGAATTCCACAAATTTGACAAAATTGAATCACAATTTTACAAAACATTGAGACAACATTCTTGTAAATGTGGTTGGTATATTTAATTTATTGAAATGTTAGTTTCAATCTAAAGTTTTTGCATTAGATTGAATTTAATGAATAACAATACATATTAGGGCATTTACAAAATAACTATGTTACAAGTTACATAAAATAGATTATTAGTATTTGCCTTTTTTGATGACATTTATTGCCATATTATCATAAGAAATATATAAGATTTTATCCTTAACAATATATAGTTATATTAAAGAGTTTATACATGGTGATTTTAATAGAACACATCCTAATTTATCTTCTATATTAAATCTAGAGTGTGACATATTAACACTAGATGTATCTGTAAGTATACTTATTTTATATCTATACTACCATTATTAGATTTTAATCTGGTTATTATTTTTGGTCAAAAAAAAAAAAATACGAAACCTAATGTTATCTTATTTTTGCACAATATGCTGTTTTTGAATTATAAAGCATAACTACATAAGGTGGATATTGAATATCTTTAGGAGTTCATAATTTTTGTATGATTAAAAGATCAAATATGTAAGTGTTTTTTTGTTACGACTAATTATGATATATTTCTTCTATTTTGAAGGGTGTTGAGTTAAATTGGCCACCAAATATGGGTGATGTACCAAATGAAGAAACCGAACAAACTATATGAACACTGATTAATCATATTATGTTGTTAAAATATATAAATCTGTTCAAAATCGATTTGGAGTGATTTAAGAGAAAAAACAAAAGTTTGCTTCTGACTTTTCAAAAGTAAAAGCAGAGGAAGAAATGTTTATTTTTCCTGATGTACAGAATAATACGATGTCATCAAGAGAAAATGTTAATCTTAAGTGTTGTCAACTAATATTTCCATGTAGAGGAAAACTATAGCTAAGTCTTTGAAGGAAACATTATCACTACAAAAATAATAACAAGTGGTTGCCTAACAAGATACGCCCACTTCCATGATAAATTTTCAATATATCATGGACTGTCACTGTGTCAAATCTTACCAAAAATCTAATTAAAAAGATATTGATTTACACCAACACAAGCTAACAAATTTTGATGTGTTTTTAATGTGTCAAGGGCACTAACTCAAATTCCTTTCATCGAAAAATTATCAAATTCAGATTTTACCAAGATCTCAATGTAATAGACGATCACACCAAATGTTTTAGTGTTCATAAACAAATGTTGGCCAGACAACAACCCCCTTCAATATTAGCCATAACAAACATAGGAGAAACATTAAATTGAAAAAGGTTCATAAAGCTCCTCATATTGCCTCCCATTTTAACCAACCTGGTCATGATTATAAATGCACACTTTTTGAGAAAATTCCAAATGAAAGCAAAAGCAAATTAGACAGAGCAGAAACTCTGTGGATTCATAGACTTGACTCTGTATGGCCATACAACTAAACCCAGGAGGTTTCAAAATTGCGAAATATTAGTGTATTTCCCCCTCCTCTAGTTATGTGGTTTCTAAGATTGTGACGTCATAAACCTTATGAGGTCATATTGTAATTTTAATCTTAACTGCCTTCCACCATTTGTAGTTTGTTGGAGTCATAACTTTTTTTTTGACGCAACGTTGGGTATTAAAGGATGTATTTATAATTTATTACACCAACTTCAGTATACATCAAATGAATCGCTGTACTACTAGTGGTATTGGTGATCCCATCAAAAAGTCTTCTTTCACCCCATTTCATGTGGGAGTTTAAAAACTTCAGTTGCAAAGTGTTATAAACAGAATGTCTGCAAAATGTAGGCATGTAAATAAAACAATGATAAATGCTTATATTAATGTTTATTCTACTGATTACATAATATCTAACAAGCACTATACTCATATATACATGGTATACAGAATTATTCTTCAAGCAAGTTCTTTTCTTTGTTTCTGTTTTTCTTTTTGTTTATTAGCTGTGATAGCATTAGGTTTAGATGTCTGTTGAACATGACGAGTAACTGTAGATACACCATCAATAAATTTAGTTTTAAATAAGATATTGGCGTTAGTAAACATACCATCTTTCAATGATACCACAATAAACTGAAAAAGAAAATGACATTTTAAGATTACGTTCATTATTTTCAAGGAAGATTCAAGGAAATTAAACACATTTGGTAATGTTTCTAAACATCAAAACAGTAGTTGACTTATTGTCAAATGTTTCTAAAAAACAATTTCAATATGGTATTTTATCTGACTGTTAAACTATTGCTTGCTAATAAAAATTAAACTAGTGTTTGCTAATCCTTATAAAATTAACTACAGCAGGGGGTTATGACTCCAAAAGGAGGAATCTTTAAATTTTTTAAATGAGGCATTAGTCTAGCATAAAATTTGGGGTCAATTAATATTTTAGTTGATTTTATTCAGTCAGCATATATTCTCTGACATGATAAAAATTACAGGGAAACCTAAGAGAAAATCATGAAATAGCAAAGAAGAGTGGTAAGGATTTATTGGGCGAAGGGGGTAATAGTAAAGCATTATTGGGGGAAAGGGGTAATGATACTGATCAAGGATCTTGAAATAAAAGATTGAAAATCCCTGAACTATAATATCAACTCAAATAGAGCTATTTTATATTTTATGCATATATGAAATTGTTAATAGGTTGACCAGCAAAATCCATGAAATCTGTGCCTTTATACCCTAAGTGATTCCCTAATATCAATAAATAGATCAATATTCACCTGAGAATGTTGGAAATGACTCTTTATCATTTGACCGATGTTTTGAGTATGAGATAAATCTAGAGCAGCATCAACTTCATCTAAGATATATATTGGTGCTGGTTTAAATAATAATAATGATAAAATAAGAGACAGGGCCACCAATGATCTGAAATTATAATAAAAATATATTATTTACACTGTTGTTAAGATCACATGATGTTAAAACATTCAAATTTCATAAAATAGCTGTTCTGAATTTTCATTAGCAAATTTTCATTCAGTTTAGTTTTTGTGAGTTTTCATTTTCATTGCAACAATTATAATCTGCTAAATAGGTGAACATAATGTTGTATATTTATTTTGTAAATTTGTTAATATACATATAATTATGTGTTAATCCAGTATCGAATCTGAAACATGTTTGTATCTGTTTCAAAGAATGTTAGGTCCTTTAAGAACTAAACAATGCAAAGTTCTTAGTGTTTTATACTTGTTGTGCACCATAACTTGTGAGGACTAAAAATATTGATACAACTAGCACACACAACTAGTATAAACAGATAATGAAAATTAGAATCAGAACATTGAATTACCTCTGACCACCACTAAGTTCACTCAGTGATTCTTTCCAAACATCAGCAAAAGCTACTTTAACTTCTAAACCATCAAGAACAGTTTTACCATCTGGTGGTGATAGTTTAGCTTGAGTACCAGGTAATAGTGATGAGAAAATAGAGTTGAAATCCTGAAAAACACAAATATATCATATACATGTACTCAAATATTAAATTCTATGGTTCAGGGTTAAATTTAAGCTGTATCGCTTTTGCAATGCAATATTTCCAATGATTAGATAATATCATATATCTTGACGATCTGCAAATAGAATCAAATCAAACTGTATATTCTTTGGGAGAATTTTCTACCTAATCTAGAAATATATGTGAACAATTGATTGGCATCGGAAGCCTTCATTTTGAATTTCTACCAAATTCAATTGAAGTTCAAATTAAAGTTTAACTTGGTAAGACAAACCTGAAATTTGGTGGGCTACATTGATAATCAAATTTTTTCAATCTAAATTGAACCTTGATTAAGTTAATGATTTAGAATCCAGGCACAAATAGCAGTCATCCTTACCTTGTTGACTTGTGACCAAGCTTTTTTCAATGCCTCATTCTTTTTCTCATCTAATTCAATTATAACTGATGCTATTTTAGCTTTATCATTCAAAACTATTTGTCTTTTCTTTATCAAATCATTATACTACAATACAAATTTCATAATGGATTAATCAAGAGATAATACTGATGAAAATCATAAAGGAGCAGGATTTAAAGCTAGAACATTGTGGCTTGATAAGGCTGTCAAAAATAGAGAATTATGAGATATTAAACGACAGGTGTGCCATTTTCGCTTGTTGATTTCAGTCTTGAATATGTGTGAATAGTCTTCAGAAGTACGGAAATCGCTTAATTCCTTAAATATACCTCAAACTATGAATTCACTATCTTTAATATGGCATTATCTCAAGAAAAGACTTTTTAACTTCCAATCGCAGATAATTCTGGAAACATAGGGATTTGAAGGCTCAAATTTAGACGGTGAGCAATGAACACCATTCATGTTTCTGAGGCTCTTATTACTTTCATATATTTACCAGTAAATAGCCATATTAGTGACTGAAAAAATGTTTCAATCAACTGCTCTCAATGTTCTTTTTACATGGCAGATAATTTTTTTTTTATATTTCTAGGGAGTTAATTTCCTTTGATTTGACCCCCACCATGAAGTGCAAAGGCTTAATATACTTTGACCTTTTGAGCGCGAACTCAATTCCTAAAATGCATTATACCAACAACAACAACAAAAATTCAATAAAGATGCTTACCTGTTCTTCAGCTTTACCCAACATATTCATAGCTCTCATATTAACATTCTTTGACAATTTCTCTTTAGTAGCAGTTAAATTACTAATTCTTCTTTCAGCTTCCTTAGGATCATTAACTTTAAAATCATAACTGGTGTTGGGCTGACCAAAATATTTCTTTTCTTCAGCAATCCAATCATATTCTTGTAACATACTTTCAACCTATATAAATTATATACATCCTTTATAATATTTATATTCCTCAGAAAATAATCAAAAAGAAAATGAGAAAGATAACTATTGTCTGAGCAAATTAAAAAGTTTTTTTTAATTTTTTCCATATTTTTTAGGAGAATTGGAAAATGAAAGAAAATGAATGGAGTTTTACGTCCTACTTTTCTGCACCCATAAGGAGAATCGGAATATCAGACTCAAAAAGTACTGACAGTCTATGTGTTGATAGAAATATAACCTTTAGTAAGTTTATATTGAAAAGAAACACATTTCTTTCCTACAAATTTCAACCCATAAAAGTGACAAGTTTATCCTGTGTAAAAACAAATTTTGAAGACATAATGTGTGCTTATGTTTATATTTTTATCAAAGCAAAGACATTATAAGACAAACAGTACAAAGAGATTGAACCCCACACATCTACGCAGGGGGTTCCCTTTGCACTTTGCTGCAAAAAGTAATTTGGTCAGTGTTGTTAGAGTTCACCAAACAGAATGGATTCAGACAAACCTTCAAGCTATAAATAGTAATTTGGTACATTCATTAGCTCAACTCACCAATTTAACAGCATCTCTAGTATCTTTCTGATGTTTACTGATTTTATGTTCTAGATCTTGAATTTCTAACTGAGCTGCCTTCAATTCTTTCTGTTTATTGCGTTGTTCTCCTACTTTCTCTGTTATTTCTTTATTTCTAGATTTTAATAATTCTTTCTGTTTATTGACATCCTCTTGAGCCTGAGTCACTGCCAACTAAAAATATTTAAACATGGTCAAAAACATGCATTATTTTAATGGAAACAAAGATCAAGATAATACATGATATTGCATTGTAGAAATGTAGTTAAAATGACATCATTTTGACATAGGCTTGAGTGTTCCACCTTTAATATTGAAAAGTTTATAAGGTGTGAAACTTTTTGCCATAGTTTTCTTGACACCTCTAAACTATAATTCCAGAAAAACTGGACACTAATGTGCAACTATTATCGCAAATAATATTTTTAAGTCCTAATCTGGCCAAGCAGGCACAGAAGAATGACCAAAAATATCCCAGCTGTGCAAAGGTCTTTGAGTTCTGGATGCACACAAAGAAAAATCTTTAGAAGGTAAAGATGGTGTGTATAAACAAACCTTTTGTTCATCACAGCCCTCTAATAGTTCTTCTATTTCTTTCTTCAATTCTTCAATAGCTTCTTCTGTAGCTTTTAACTGATTCTCATTATTAGATATTTCTTTCTTTAATTCTTCAGCTTCTAATTTGACACCATCAATATCCTATATCATATTATAGAATAAAATAAACATGCTCAGTTTAAATGCTTAACTATCTGATAAAGTTGAATTTCAGTGTGTAGTAGCTCTTTTCTCATTTTCACCATTAATGGTCTTCATTCAATGTAAATAAAATACTCAGAATACAATAAATGTATGATATATTGCCTAATTCCTTCAAAAATATCTCAAACTAGGAATTTCTCTTTCTACTTCTTTAGTCTTTTCTATATATATGGCAGTCTCAAGAAAAACTGAGTCGTCATTCTAATTTTCAACGCTGATAATTCTGGACATAGATTTGAAGGCTAAAATTTTGAGAGTGAGCTGAGAACACAGGGTTCAGATTCATCAATGGATGAAAATAATAACACAATTGAATCTGAGAAAGAGCGTAATATTCTTGTTTCAGTGCTGTCATCAATTTATTTGGTTCTAGATGTTTGTTTCTGATCAATTGAGATCCCTATCTTTTATTTATTAAGTATGATCGTATTGTTTTACCTGAAGTTTATCTTTTAACTTTTTACCATAATCCTCCATTTTCTTTTTAGCTTTACTTAATTTATCTTCTGCTTCCTTCAATTCATTTTCACGTACAGCTTTAGCATTTTGTAATTTATTCTTTAATTCCTTTACTTTCTGTGTTGCTTTTTTCTTCTTTTCTTCTGATTCAGTCTGGATGTTCTTCTGTTCAGCTGAAATTTAATGTCCTCTAAAGTCTTAATATTTGTTTTACCAGCTCATTTCAAGTGACAATCAACAGGATGCTTTCCCTTAAGAAAAAAAGCTCCAAAACATTAACAAGTCTTTCAATAATTCTTTACTCCTAGTCCGAAAAATCTGCCTCCTTTCTTTTTGGCCATGCTTTCAGATTTAAATTGTCGATGGGAGATCAGTTTCGTTTAAAAAAAAACCTTGATGGAACCGCAGACGTGATATAAATGGTAGACTGCACTACATAAAAATCTATCTTTCCGAATATAGTTTGGTTTAGTGTGTCTGATTTCAATAAATTGGTTTAAAACCCTTGTACTTTTGGAGGTGAGAAATATCCCCATAAAGCAAGGCCTTTCGACAACTTTCAAAATAGCCATCAGAGAGTGGAATCAAGATGTTTCAGTCTACTTTAGTCCTATCATTGAGTCTTTGATTTTAAAGACTGTGGTAGCCATCACTGATACCAACCTGCAAATTATCTACATTAAAATTAAATAATAGGAAAACTTACCTATAGATTCCTTTATACTATTGACAACTTGTAATTGTTTATGATGTGTATTTTGTTCCAACTTAATACTAACTAAATCAGCTTCTTGTTTCTTTAAATCATATTCTCTTTTAAACTGAACATATCTAAAATAACAACAGATAAATAATTGTACAAAACAGTTTTCTGAACTTGGCTAATGAAGAAGGGAATGGCATGGAGTGAGCAATGAAGAAAATTTTGCTAAGAGAGCCGCATTGGCCTACTCTTTTCAATTTCCATTTTTCAAAGGTTCTTAATGAGCCACGGAGGGAGATACACATCAAAAGTATCTAGATAATAACTCAACAGTGATGAGAACAGGTACTAAAATACTGAAACAACGCTATTTGTTCAAGGATAACTTCAATTCTCATAAACCTTTTTATCTTTCTGGACCAACTCTTTCTCAGTGAACAAACATCTAAAGATACACCTTGACTAATATCAAGATCCAACCTATACCTCCATGTTAGCTTGCAGATAACAGCTGAACCACAATACTACAAGGGTGTTGAATACAATCTCTAATTATTGAAATTTTAGAAGTAATATAGCCATACCTTTCACTATTCTTTTTAAGATTAGTCAATTCATTATCAATATTCTTCACTTCACTTTCTTTTCCTTTTAATACGTCTTCTACTTCTTTTATTTCTTGTAATTTTTGTAAGATACCAGAGTTTTGTTTTCGAGCACCTATATACAAACAGATGTAGTTTATAGTATAATTTCAATTAAAAGAAGAAAATAATGTTAATGTTTGAGCCATAATACATAACAAAAAGATCTTTCATAAATCTTTGGATTCTTCAGGTTTACAACATAAACATTTTCACAACCCATAAATTGGCAAGAAAATTTGTCAAGAATTTGTGCCTTCATATGCTCCACATTTCCTGCGAAATATAAAATTCAAACACACAGTCTAATTTCCAGTCAGGTTAAATCAAACAAAATTAAACCAAAATTTCATTCTATTTTTTTATAAGCTTTATCTTTAATATAGCCACTGCAATGAGGGTCTGAAGGCGGCCTTTTTGAACATTGCCAACCAATCAATTTCCCCCCTCCCATGCGGGGATTTTTTTACTTAAAAAAAGGTGTATTCCGAGAAGCATTAGACACTGAATGTACCTTTTGTTCACAAAATCTCAGCAGGAATTTTATTGGCTGGTGGTGTCATCATACAGACAAATGTTCAAACAGGCTGTCTTTAGACCCTAACTGAAGTGGCTATATCAAAACTTTAATTTAACTCCAACCTGGTTAAGTCAAACAAAATTTATGTAAACATAAAAACTACCTCCAGTTAATGTACCAGCTGGATCAAAAGAATCACCATCAAATGTAACAGTTTTCTTCAATACACCATCATTATATGTGACTTTCTTAGCTGTATCCATATCAGGGCAAATAAAACAACTACCAAATACATACTGCATAGCTGTTTGTAAATCTTTCTCATATCCAACTAAACTTAATGCTGTACTTACATTTTCTTTACCAACCTTTTCAAATAAATATCAATAATAAATGAAAATAAATTACAAATCACCAAAAATGCTAATTAATTTTTTTTTACGGGAGACAGAATGTTAGCAATAAACAAAGATTCATTAAACAATACATCTGTATAGATATTAATAATAAATATTCTGGCCAATTCTAAAAGACACATAATTATGAGAAATTCAAAAAGACCTGGCTGGAGAAATAATTTACAATATAGTTTAATAGTTCAGATCAATCAAAATGTCTCAACTGTGTTTTATACTTTATGTCTTTATATTGATAGTTCTTCACTTTTAACAGTTCAGAACCACTTATATGCTTATCTAATTATTTTATCCTGGAAGTTTGTATAAAATGGGGACTACATTTAAATGTCATAATCATTTTCAGTTTACTAATTGTATATTTCCCAGACTATACTTACCAAATTTTCAGCTTTCTTTACAATTTGAGGATCAATTGATCTTGATGAAATCTTATTTATAGGTATAAATGTGTAACGTTTCTTTAATTCTCCTTTCTGTAGTAATTTTTTAGCAGTGACTTCAGTATCAACTACAACATTATACAGCTGAAACATAATAAACAATTACATTATACAGCTGAAACATAATAAACAACTACATTATACAGCTGAAACATAATAAACAATTACATTATACAGCTGAAACATAATAAACAGTAAACAACTACATTATATAGCTGAAACATAATAAACAACTACATTATACAGCTGAAACATAATAAACAACTACATTATACAGCTGAAACATAATAAACAACTACATTATACAGCTGAAACATAATCAACAATTACATTATACAGCTGAAACATAATAAACAACTACATTATACAGCTGAAACAAAATAAATAACTACATTATACAGCTGAAACATAATCAACAATTACATTATACAGCTGAAACATAATAAACAACTACATTATACAGCTGAAACATAATCAACAATTACATTATACAGCTGAAACATAATAAACAACTACATTATACAGCTGAAACATAATAAACAACTACATTATACAGCTGAAACATATTAAACAACTACATTATATAGCTGAAACATAATAAACAAAAACATTATATAGCTGAAACATAATAAACAATTACATTATACAGCTGAAACATAATAAACAACTACATTATACAGCTGAAACATAATAAACAACTACATTATACAGCTGAAACATATTAAACAACTACATTATATAGCTGAAACATAATAAACAAAAACATTATATAGCTGAAACATAAACAAAAACATTATATAGCTGAAACATAATAAACAATTACATTATACAGCTGAAACATAATAAACAACTACATTATATAGCTGAAACATAATAAACAATTACATTATATAGCTGAAACATAATAAACAATTACATTATACAGCTGAAACATAATAAACAATTACATTATACAGCTGAAACATAATAAACAACTACATTATACAGCTGAAACATAATAAACAATTACATTATACAGCTGAAAGATAATAAACAGTAAACAACTACATTATATAGCTGAAACATAATAAACAATTACATTATACAGCTGAAACATAATAAACAACTACATTATATAGCTGAAACATAATAAACAACTACATTATACAGCTGAAAGATAATAAACAGTAAACATCTACATTATACAGCTGAAACATAGTAAACAGTCAGAAAACAGTCAACATATATATAAATACAACTGAATTTAGATTTAAAAATAAATTTACCTTTCCACCAGCAGCTACTTCTAATGACGTTGCTGTTCTTTCATTTTTGACTTGAATCAATTTACAAACTAAACCCTTAACCTTACTTCTATCAAAATTACTTTCTGGATTGCTATATTCAAAATTTAAATGAGGAAATCTGCAAAACAAAACAGTCATAAATCGTGAAACAATCAATGTTCTATATTATTATCATTATCTTCAAGCTTAAGCTTAGAAGAATTCTACCTCTTCGAATCAAAATTCATCAAATTTTGCCATCAAGAGTTTATCAGTGAACCTGGTGTCATAACTATACAACAGAATTCCTCTAAAAAATCCCTAAAACTTAAGTGTTTTAATATACAAGTCTATATCATAATATAGAAATGAGACAATATAAATTACCTAGATTGTAACATGTGTAATTTTCCATTCAAACCCTCAACTTCCTTTATTAAATTTCTTCTTTCGGTTGCTAATTTTTCTTCTTGACCTTCTTCATATCCAGTTTTCTTAATCTCATTCTGTTTGAAAATATATATAAGTCATTCATATAAGGTATTGTGGTACATCTATCACAATTTAAAATTTCTACTGATTTACTTCTAACATAATCATTTCTACTGATTGACCTTTAACTTAATCATTTCTTCTGATTTACTTCTAGCATAATAATTTCCATTGATTTACTTATGTTATCATTACTACTGATTTGCTTCTTATATTATCATTTCTACTGAATTACTTCTTATATTATCATTTCTACTGATTTACCTCAAACATAATCATTTCTACTGATTTACCTCTGTTATAATTATTACTACGGTACTGATTTACCTCAAACATAATTATTACTACTGATTTACCTCAAACATGATCATTTCAACTGATTTACCTCAGAACATAATAATTTTAACTGATTTACCTCAAACATAATCATTTCTACTGATTGACCTCTATTATAATTATTACTACTGATTTAGCTCAGAACATAATCATTTCTACTGATTTACCTCTAACATTATCATTTCTATTGATTTCCCTCTAAAATTATCATTTCTACTGATTTACCTTTAACTTCATCATTTCTACTGATTGGCCTGTAACTTAATCATTGCTACATATTTACTTCTAACATAATCATTTCTAGTGATTGACCATTAACTTAATTATTTCTACTGATTGACCTTTAACTTAATCAGTGCTACATATTTACTTCTAACATAATAATTTCTACTGATTGACCTTTAACTGAATTATTTCTATTGATTAACCCTTAACTTAATCATTGCTTCATATTTACTTCTAATATAATTATTTCTAGTGATTTACTTCTTACATAATAATTTCCATTGATTTACTTATATGGAATTGAATTACTTATGTTATCATTACTACTGATTTACCTCAAACATAATCATTTCTACTGATTTACCTCTGCACATAATCATAGGAACTGATTTCTCTTTAACACAATCATTTCTATTGATTTCCCTCTAACATAATCATTTCTACTGATTTAATTATAGAATCATTTCTATTGATTTCCCTCTAACATAATAAAATTTATTTCTACTATTGAATCTATTAAAATGAATTACCTCTAATTTAGTCATATGTTGTTTGATGTTTTCTAATAAAGTCTGGTCTTTTTTATAATCATCTTTTCCATGTTTTATACCACTTTCTTGTTGTTTTAATTCCTTCTCAAAATGCTTCAATCTAAAAAAAAAGAAAAAATAAGCCAAATACAGAAAATGGTGTAAAAGACTTATTCCAGGAAAGCCCAATTTCACTTCCAAAATAGCTGAAATCCAAAATTTTTGTATTCATTTGTTTGAAGTTTTTATTGACTATATTTGTAAGTTGCTTTCGTTAAAAAACATATTGAAATTTTTCAACAGAATTTCCCTTTAAATATACTAGTACAAATATCTTAGAAGAATATGAGAACTTACTTATTTTGAGCTGACAATATATCAGTATTAGCAGTGCTTATCTCATCTTCAGCAGCTAGAAAATATCAGAACAATAAGCTTATTACTGATCAATTAGACCTTGTCAATTTCAATATCTAAAAATGGGGAGTATGTACCACCTTTAAAGGTGTTACAATTCTATTAAGTCTTTCTTTGTTCACAGATTGATCACTTTTCATCATTGTAACTTGAGGAAGTAATAGTTCAAGTTCATTTGTATGTAACTTTTTTTTTGTAAACAGTCCAATTTTTAAATCAAACACCTATAAATTAATTCTTTAAAGAAATGAAATGAAATGAATGGAGTTTTACGTCCTACTCTTCTGCACCTTGTGGGCTAATGAAGACGTGCAACACCATGCAGGGTGCCATGAGGGAAATTTTGCCAGGACAGCGGCATTAGCCTGCTCTTTTTCGATTTCCAACTGTCGAGGGATCTTTAACGTGCACAGCCTGTAGCACACGGGGCCTCGGTTTATTGTCCCATCCGAACGACTAGACGCTTTTTCCATGTCAGCCCCTCTTACCTGCATCACTGACAGGGGGAAACCGGGTTGAAAAATCCGAAGGTATTATCTCGACCTATGCCGGGATTGAACCCTGGACCTTCAGGTTAGCGAGCTAATTCTTTAAAGAGAAAATAACTTACAAATTAACTGGTCTGTTAATGAAGCATCATTACCATCATCATTAGATGATAACCCAACAGTTACAGCATGTAGATGTTTCTGAGCAGCTTTATAACTTTCTTCACTCGCTTCTTTTTCTTCTTTTAACTTACTTAATGAGTCATCAACACTCTCTAGTTGTTTACTGTGTGCATTTAATGTTTTCTTATCCTTAAATTTTGAATTAAAAATTTGTCAATCTCAAGTCATGTAATTTTAAGTTGTTCAGAGAACATAGGAATTTTACTCTACACGGCTGAATGATTTTGACAATTAACAGTGTCATGAAGGCTTTTTGTCACCCAAAATAGATTTTTGTAGAACAGTAGCTTGGTCACCTGAAAGTTGACAAAACATTCCAAGGGAAATATGTCCCACATAAAAATCATAAAACATTTTCCATGTGACTAAGTTATTTATCTTTATCTAAATTTGAAATTGTGAAGGAGAAGATTTTAGTTCTACAATTCACCCCTTAAAAAACACAATACCTCATCACAATTCTTCATCAACTGTTTCTTCTTCTTCTCTTCAGCTTTTAAACTTTCTTTCTTCCTCTCAATACCACTCTGACATAAGGTAAATTCTTTCTGCTTTTCTTTCAGGACACTTTCACATTTCTCCATAGCACTTCCTGATGCCTTTATTTTAAATAAATTACTTTATTACATTCAGGTAGCAAATTCAAAGGTTTTGAACAGAACAAAGACAGAAAATAATAGTATCATGTCAACAACTGTTCTTGATAAAGTAACATATCAAAGGAAATCAAATGTAAAATGTGCTTTTATTTATTTTGTTTAGGGTTATTTCAAATTTGTTAATAATGAAAAGTCTATAACATTATTTTCTCTTAAAACTTAATTTATTTGAGATATCAGTGTTACAGTGATCTGATTAGTCAATCACTAAAATTAAATATTAACTATATAGTTTACTTTCCAATCAGATACTGAATTTCTAAATATATGAATTTTTCTTGAACAACTGGTAACTGAGCTACTAATCAAAATAAACATAATCATTGGCCAAATAGAACTGTGTATGACTGGAATTTCCAATCAATGCCAAGATGACAATAGCTCCAACCCGTTTTTTGGTGCTAAGCTTTAGATGGAATAGCAAACCAGTTTAGCCTAGATGAAGCCTACCTCATCTCTCTTCTTCTCTAACTCTACAATAGATTCTAAATAGAATTTCTAAATATATGAATTTTTCTTGAACAACTGGTAACTGAGCTACTAATCAAAATAAACATAATCATTGGCCAAATAGAACTGTGTATGACTGGAATTTCCAATCAATGCCAAGATGACAATAGCTCCAACCCGTTTTTTGGTGCTAAGCTTTAGATGGAATAGCAAACCAGTTTAGCCTAGATGAAGCCTACCTCATCTCTCTTCTTCTCTAACTCTACAATAGATTCTGTTATATCAGTAATCAGTCTTTCTAACTGTAAAAATAAGAAGTTAGTTGGATTACTGAAAATCAGTATACTTCATCACATACTGTGTTCATTGCGTTCGTTATCTTCACAGTGACAATGTCACTTTGTATTATAACCACATTCTTGCATCATGGAATGTTGGGATTTGATTGGATTGTATGTCAGCAAATACAGCCAAGTAGAACCCTTGATTGAAAGGCTGTTAACCATATGGCTCATTGTCATTGCCTTTCTGTAGCGTTCTCGCATACAATACACAATCTAATACTTACATGATATAACAAAGGTGGCTAATGCAGTCAAGGTATTTTAGGTTGCTATTTCAAATGCAGGCAAATATTCATCAAATATTGATGAAAAACATCAAGAAAAATATTCAAACAATACATACATTAGTAATTTTAGTTTTCAAACTTTCTGTTTGTTCTGTTATTTCATTGAGTTCATCATGAGACCGTTTCTTCTTCTCCTACAACACAAACATCAAATATAGGATTTAATCCAAGCAGCAAATTAAATTTGACTTGATCCATCTATTTATGCACAAAAGATTTTGATTCCTGGTATTCCTGTTCTGATATATGACACATATTTTGGTTTCGATCATTGGTAAGTGTCACGCTTTGTGATATTGTTATATTTTGTGTCCATAGTGGTTTACATTTGTTTCAAGTGCTATATGTTACGTAATATTTTTCTTATAATAATACATGTGTTTTTAACAATAAATGAAATAAAATGAATGGAGTTTTACGTCCAACTTTTCAGGACCAGGTGAGATAACAAAAACAGGCAACACCATGAAGGGTGCAATGAGGGAAATTTTGCCAGGACAGCGGCATTAGCCTGCTCGTTTTTCAACTGTCGCGGGATCGTGCACAGCCAATAGCACACAGGGCCTCGGTTTATTGTCCCATCCAAACAACTAGATGCTTTTTTCCATGTCAGCCCCTCTTACCTGCATCACTGACAGGGGGAAACCGGGTTAAAAAATCTGAAGGTATTATCTCAACCTATGCCAGAATTGAATCCTGAACCTTCAGATTAGCGAGCAAAGCGTCTAACTTACTGAGCCATCGCGGCTCCAGTTTTTAAATAAAGAAAACAGCAATACCTCAGCACAGACATAAGTATAAGCAATATACAACTTATTCAAATGATCTAATTCTCTAATAATCTTCTGATATTCTAAATATGATGACCTTTCTTCTCTTAATTTACTTAATGTTGGTGTTATATCTTCATTAAGTACCTGAAAATAGGCTTTGTAACATAAAGGCCAAGACGTACCCATTTTTACGATTTAACAATTCAATAATTCAAAATTAATTCAGGATCAATCCACCATGTAATTGTTCCAATAAAATCAATACCTCAAAAAATATTACAGGCTTGAAGACAAAAATTGTAAACTGTCAATTTGAAATTGATGTGAAGGGAAACGACTGCATATTGGTCTTGACTTTATTAACTGTAAATGGCATTTTGCTTTTGAAACCATATCTAATATTGGTACGGATTTAAAACTCAAAAGTACTTTAGAAATGGAGTATTATAACAATCTTAGCTGTCTAGAATGTCCTAGAAACAGTGTTAGAAGTTAAGACTTAAGGACACCTTAGCACTAAGATCATTTTGTGAATATACTGCCTGGTTTATAAATAATCTTATTTTGTCAGAAAGCTTACTCACAGATTCAATTTCTCGTAATTTAGCATCTTTTTTCTCAATGGTTTTCTTTACTGACTCCTTCTTAGATTCATACAGTCTAGTACCAGCAGCTTCTTCAATTAAAGATAAAATCTGCAAGAAAAACAATGAGTGGCTCTCAGGACTTGCTACAGTATGAATATTTTACATGTAAAGATAGAAACTGTCATTCACTCTTACATTTTATTCCAGTATTCAATATTCAAATTGGGAATTTCATATTCAATCTCAATTTATTAGTTGTTCAAAGATGTTGGAAGGATAGTTTTTTTTACTGATTAACAAGTCTAGATGTATTAATATTCTATTGACATTCCTTAATCAAAAAAGACTGACTGATATTTGTTGTGAATTGCCCCTAGATGTGCACAAATATGTTCACACATCTACACTATAAGTATACTATTTACAGATTCCATTAAGAGCCTGTGTGAAGGTATTTCTTCAAAAAATATAAACTTTGCTATTTATCTTCAGTAAATCTAGGCCATCAGACCAGACACTACGAATTACTTTTCTTAGACAATAACTGAATATTTCTACCCTGTTAGATCTCTAGAATTACTAGTAAAAAAGTCGAAATCATATACTAGTAAAGTTTTTAAATGGCATTTAGCCATGTATACATTACCTCTGGGGGCTTCATATTGAGGACTTTGGTAATTCGGCCTTGCATAATGAGAAAATGTGGATTATTAACATTAAGTTGAACTGAGTGAAATAAATCCTGAACTCTAGTATTATTGGCATTACTACCATTGATAAGGTATTTATTTCTTCCACCAATAACAACCTGAAAACACATAATTTACATTTAGTATATCAACATTAACCACAAACAATCTAAGAAAAATTGGAGACCAAAAGTTACTGGTAGGTTGGGGGTTAGTCAACTAATTCAAAATAGGATTCAAGCTGATAAGCTACTACAAATCAAATATCACAGTGGAATAAGAAATATTGGCTCAGTTCTTAAACAGTTTAATCTCTAGATTACCTTATCTACAATTTAACGTTAATGAGCGAGAGTGTTACAACATTTCCTTTATAGAAAAGTTGTGAAAGACAAGATAATCAAGTGACCAAACAATCATTGGAATCCCTACTTAATTAGCTAATTACAATTATGTACTTTTTAGATAACCTAGTATTTTATCCAATTATTATACTGAGCATTAAATATGCATGCCCTCAAATTACAGAATAATTTCAGGAATAAATGAAAATAAGATGACCTGTCTTAAAATCATAAGATATATTGGAATATTATGGAATTTTTACAGTGCATTTCACGTGGTGGTTCACAGATCAACTTAAAATCTGATTTCTTGTAAAATGTTACAATTTGTATGTAAAATAAGTTGGATTTTAAAAAGTTATAAAATCACAAATTCCATTTTCTGATTCAGAAAACACTAACACTAACCTGACGGGTAACTGTAATTTCTTCATACTGCTCATATCCAAAAGGACTTTGCTTCTTATCTTTATTATCAAAAGTAATACTAACTGTAGCTTTAGAAACACCAGCTTGTCCACATTTATACACCAAATCTTGAAGATTACCAGCTCTTACCTGTAAATAAGTCAAGAAATAAATTCACAAGTCTTGCGTGCAGATTTGAAATTGATTTTTTAAGCGACAGTTTGAGGTGATTGTAAGTTGCCTTGATCTATGGTTCATTTAGAGTAAAGAATTTTATCCAACCTGGTTCTTGTATCAGCTGACATCTCAGTTTGATTTCTATTACGAAAATTATTATCAACAGGGGGGGGGTTTTCAAAACATCGAAATGTTACAGCTGTTCATCTAATGAATCAAGCATGCGCGATTAGTCGAATGGAAAAATCAGATTCTAATATTTGCAAAAATGCATTCGAATTCGAATATTCGTGTGAGCACCCATTGGTACTCTTATCATTCATTACATCGTATAGAACAGAAATATGCAACTTGACCATTCTTTGTTAAGCGCTTTTTTCAAAATTCTCGAGCTAACACTTTTCGTCCTGCGTGCCCGTATTGATGTGTCTCTGGATATGAAATAGCAAATTATTGGAGATTAGTAAAAAGTGCCACGCTCTATGCAGTAATATTTAGCTATGAAATTTGGTTTACGTCGAACAACAATAAGCAGCATTTTCAAGTGTACAGAATAATTCTTTTAAAAGTTTGCCGACATAATATCAATAAAAAATGTATGTGCAGTTGCTCAAAATAGTAACGTATACAACTGAATTGTCTTTTATTATTGTCTTATTATCAGAAAGATACCGTCTGTATAATGCGAGTCACTGAGTTATAAATAGTAACATGTGGCACATGTTAAAAAATGTTGAAACTTTAGAGTACTCTGACACTCTCGCCAATCCGACAATATTTTGCGAATATCAGTGGATTTCTCAATAATCGTCAATGCCAATTATGAAGAGAAAGTCGTGAGCTTGATTTGTCTGTAGGCTACTCTAATCAATAATTGCTTTGATAATATTTAAAATGTTTTCATAACTTGGATTGAAGGAGAGAATAAGTAGTCAAGTTGAGTTGTTTGCGAGTATGAGTTATTTTGAATAAATTTTATTTTGTTACCGTTTTAACCAAAGTATCTTGTTACCGTTTTGGCAGATCTGTTACCGTTTTAACTAAATCTGTGTTACCTTTTTGGAATATCTGTTAACGTTTTGACTATTAAAATTTGTTACCGTGAAATTTAATATCACTGGTACATTACAAAACCATGACAATAAATAGAACTGTTCGCTGTTTCAGATCTATCCTAGTGCATGGCAGCGTGGCAGTACGTTTGGCATAAGACATGTAATATCAAAATGCTTAAAGAATATATAGAAGAAAAATATATTGGCCTTTTAACTTACATGTGTCAAGTTTGTTATTCCCAGCAAAAAACAAATCGCATCCAAGATGTTGGATTTACCACTTCCATTTAACCCAGTTATGGCGTTAAAAAGCGGATCAAACCCGTTGATTTCTGTTCTCTGTGCATAAGACTTGAAGCCATCTACAACCATGGACTTGATATACATTTTTGTGACGAATTTCTCTTATTTCGTCGATCTTGTTTACTTACATTAATAAAAAGAATGGCGCCATAAAAATCAAATGACTCTCGAACAACCAGACTTTCTGGTCTGATAGTTAATAAATAATACCTTATCAATCTGTTAAATGCAATATACTCTATTTTCTATTTATTCAATGTCCTTAAATTCAAAACTGTCCATTATAGAATGGAAAAAGGAATCAAAAGACTTTTTAATTGTTCCTATGATCAATGGATGATAAATTCCAATTATAGATTTGCTATTTTATGGTGTAGAAAAAAGTAGAATCCACAAAAACCTTTATATTAATTATGTTGCATTCGAATCAAACTATCTTTTACAGCGCACCTAAATAGCGATTTTAATTAAATGTGAGACTTGATACCTTTTATTTCTGAGAAGTCACTGATGATGAAGTGCGAGTGGTGTCCAATAAATATTAATGGTTTTGAGACACTATGAATATTTTCGGTATCATTTTCGGTCTCATCTATTACGTTATTTCATACGAACCGGTCTTTTTACGAAAATAAGGAGTAACGAACGCAGCTTGATCGTGATTTGACAACATTAAAATAATATGGTATTTCTAATGTTTTGTAAATAGACCTAGCTGTAAGAACAATCTAGATCTTTACTGGTTTTAGGTTATTGGTTTCATTCACAAAGTTTATGTTAACATGTTCAGCTTTGAAGGAAAATATCGTCGAACACCTGGACAATCTTTAGGAGGAGCAAGTCAAACGGTAGGTATCCTTGCTTGATTGACAATGAAATCGTCGATATTTATTTATCAGGCCCTATTTATCGTCTAATATATTTCAGTCCTTGCCCTACCAGGCCTAACAATTTTTTGAAATACAAAAAAAACGAAAATGATTAACAAAGTCAAAATGTGATTCTTAAAAAAAAACATAAAATTGGATTGGTTTAGCTTCAGTTTGAAATGAAGATTGTGCTTTTGTTAGATTGAATATACAGTATTACAGTGGTGTAACCTATTTTCGTGGATATAAGGATTCAACACCGAATTTCGTCAATGTTCAAAAAACGAATTTTTTTTTTTTATGTCTTAGATGTTTCCTCAGATATTCTACAAAATAATTAAAATTGGTTTATTTCGATTTTCTTTATGTATCCTTCACTTTGATCCATATTTCATGAGCAACCAACTCGGCAAGGGCGGCACCTATTTTCGTGTGCAATGAGTGATCTATAAATAAGTCTAGAAAAACACGTTGTATGGATGCCAGGTGGTATAATTAACTTCTCTTAGTATTTATCTTTAATATCAATTCATTATAATTAGTGACAATTCCTTCAAAGAACCATGATATAAAAAAAAAAAATAGTGACTGACAAGATAAGATACGTAGCGTGATTTATTGCTAAAAGTCACTGAAGAATATGATCCACATTGTGTTCCATAGAAATTTTCTGCTGACACGGAATCCGCTAGTTGATCACGTGACTTCATTCGTTGGACTACATTCTAGCAGACGAAACTTGAAATTCTGATTACCGCTTGGGATTATAAGGAAATTCAGCCGATAAAAAATGGTGACGTTTAGTAATAACTGAAATCGGCCATTTTGTATTTCTCAAAGTATACATTAATACATTTTACCTTGCTGGCAACTACTGGATTCATTCTACTAGCTGATATTGTAGAGAAAAACTAATGCGGAGGTCGCGCAAGGTCGCTCATGTAAATTATTAATCCTTTCCGGAAATCCACGAATAATAGGTTTCCATGAAATTAGGTTACTTGACTGTAAATAAGTCTAGAAAAACATGTTGTATGGATACCGGGTGGTATAATTAACTTCTCTTAGTATTTATCTTTAATATCAATTCATTATAACTAGTGACAATTCCTTCAAAGAACCACGATATAAAAAAAAATAGTGCCTGACAAAATAAGATACGTAGCGTGATTTATTGATAAAAGTCACTGAAACAACATAAGAATATGGCCCACTTTATGTTCCATACAAATTAGGTTACTTGACTGTATAGCTAATCTCTCTTTGAAATGATTAGGCCTAATGATTTTATCATTGGTTTATTTTCACCAACCTTACGGCACATGACCAGTTCATATTTTTTGAAAATCTGGTTGCTATTTTCTCTTTTTCAGGTAGAGAAAGAATCATTAATAAAGAAATTTCAAGATCAAAGAAATAAAAGAGAGGTAATATTAAGTATTAATTTAGTTAATGCAATTTGTTTGATGTGGCTTGGTAAAGCCATCAAACTTCAGGAAATCCTTGAGTCTCAAGGTGCGGGCACACGAGCGGTCTTGGTCCGAGACTTTTGTCACTGATTAAAGTCTTGTCTTGAGCACAGGCACACAAGGAGACAAAAATAGAATTACAGTTTATTCCTTATATGAAAATATGTTTCAAATCATATGTTCTTATTTTATATGTACACTTTTCTGTTGATTTTTTTTTTTTACACCATACTGATGTATTTGGTAAGTTTAAAGATTAAAGCTGCCACATGGTGGACATATGGATGTATGTATGGATAGCTGCTCCTTGAAAAAAAAAATTCACCATTGTGATTGTTCCAAAAGTGGCAGTCTGTTTTAGTGAGCACAAGCTGTGCAGCAGTATTTGTTCTTGAGCAGCATATTTCAACCAATTCTTTGTTGTTTTTTAAATGGAGGGCGTATATTGCCGTCACCCATGTTTGTCCGTCTGTGTTTCCGTCGGTCCGTGTCTCCGTCCACAATTGCTCGTAAATACTCTACAAGACTCAATTCTGGACGGATTTTGACAAAATTTGATATGAGTTTTCAAAATCACCCTATTGAAAATCGAGAATCGAAAAATATTTAGTATGAGTTATTGCCCTTGTTCTTGAAAACGCGTTAAATTTTTTGTTCGTAAACACTCTAGAAACAGGGCAATAACTCATACTCAATATTATTCAGTATGCCCCTAAAGAGTTCAAAAGAAGTGTATGACTGAAGGTAAAATATTTCATACTGGTAATTGTTACTGTACTGCTAAATATTNTTATTCAAAATCAAAGCTGCCAGTGGGCGTATATTACCATGCCTGGCAAGCTATCTTTTTACTATATTTGTGAAATAGAATGTGTTAAAATATTTTTTTGATTGTTTAATAACAGGATGAAAGACGTAAACAGTCCAGTGCTATTAAGATACAGTCCTGTTTTAGAAGTTATATTACTAGAAAGTTTCAGGTAGGTGTTAGGGTGTATTGAGACAAGTCTCTGAAAGCACTGACCTAGGCCACAGAGCAATAGATAAGCTTATTATTTTTTAAAACCACTAAACTAACAGGATAATGACACAGAAAGTAGTACCAGAGTTGATTATATTTTGTTCGACACGAATCTCATGACTGCCTCTGACATCTTTTTAGACAACAGATGAAAATAAAAAAAAAACATGGCAGCTAATATACATTCACGTGCAAGGCGCGGGAGTATACTTGAATAGTTAGAAAAGATAACTTGTTCAAAATCACAAGAGTCTAGTATCTTACTATCCAACTATGATTATAGCTAACAGCCACCTTTCTTGTACTACTATCAAGCTAAACAATTGATTTCAGGATTTAACACTGGCTATTTTCAGAGTGATATATTAAGAAGAGAATTTGATACAGCACGAAACAGTCTAGAGAAGAATTCAAGTGTAGATCACAAAACTCTATATGAAATGATCTGTAGACTGGCTTATTTCTACAAACCACAAGATGGTCAAAGATTGGTGAGCTATTTATTATTTTATGTCAGATTGTGGGTGTATGTGAATACTACACATACAACCGACTATTGTTGTTGTAGTCAAGGCTGTTTTTATGAAGTTTGATACATATACTCTTTTTGGATTTCAAATTGATGACGGATTTTCAGAAAGATAATCTGATATTTGGTTCAATTATGAAAATATCAGTAAAGGTTTTCAGGTTGTTACTATTACATTTTGTCAGAAGTTACATGACATCATCGGTGATGTATAATGGATTGCAATATTGATCACAGCTTGGAACCTTAGACAGTCATCATTTCAGTGGAAATATTGTAATTACTTGTAACATATGGACAGTGTCTGTCCAAGCCCATCATATCACTAATATGGGTTTTGACACGGTCTTATTAACCTGTATTAAACTAAGCCCACTACATTTTGTTTTGTGGTCGTGGAAATGATATTTGAATCTGACCAATCAGATCATTAGAGCTCATGTAAATAAATTACAACATCGCTTTGCCAGTGCCCTTTCGAAGAGACAAGAACACATTCTTTCCGAGTTGATATTAAAAAGTAAGATTTGATTCTCTATCGGATTCAATTGTTTTCTGAAAATCTTATTCAATTCTGTACTGTCCATATTAATCAAGATGGTAAATCCTGTATGCAAAATTTTAAAATTTGTGAGACTTTTCACATGTAAAAAACAGGAGTGTAAAATATTTACGTTCGCAAACATAACATCATAACGAGTGATTTGTTATGATTGGCTGAAATATTTCCTACCAATTTTGATAAGAAAATATTTTGCTCATTTTCTCTCATTTTTCTATTGTAGATATTTATTTTTCAAGAATTATTAAAGAAAGGATTTGATTATATAAAAACTATTGATAATATATACAATAATGGCTTGCTTCATTTAAAACAGATTCTTCATCTTTCTATCAAGTAAGTTTTATTTTCATCAGTTCAATATTTACCTAGATGTATGGGATTTGAGCAAGGCATATTTTGCGAAAAAATAACCTATTTCCTTTGTGTACAGAACATTGAAGATGTTTCAATCCAAATTGTTTACCTGGTACCATTATCCTTACAATATTTATCTCATTGCACACTGCATGCTGTTGTTTTTCTTCATCAAGACAAAATCTGAAGCCCTTCAATGATCAAAGATGATCAGCATTGAACTGAATAACTACTTATAATAAATGTACAAATCCAATTTGAGAAATTCTACCACTTCCACTTTTGAAAACGTTGTATATATGTCATATTTGGCCATTTTGACTCCTCTGTACCGTTCAAAAGCTCGTAAAAGTGTGGATCTTGTGATCAAAACCTCGTATTCTTAGCTTGATTGTAAATAAGCAATAAAAACACTAATCAAATAACACGTATATAAACCGTAAAAAATATTATATTATATCTCACTTATTGAGATATATACACTCCTTCCCTACCATTGTTTCTCCAATATGTTATTTATATTTTGTTTTGCTGTTTGGATCATTAGAACTTATTATATTTATTTACCCTATCTTTCAGGTATTTAAGATGTATAGCAGCTAGAAATGAACCTATAGCTTTACCAATGAGAATATTAGAACTGTTTTTATCACCTATAAATAAGAATGATAATATAACATTATCTGGATTTGATTCTAATTTTGTATTTTCTTCTATAATATATCACATAGTCAAATCAGGTTAGTCATATATTTTACCTATCAATATATATTATACACACCATCAATAATTTTGTTTCTCCCCATCATCCATGATAAATTGGTAAATCAATAAATTGCGAACGATATGTGTTTCTTTTTACCTGTTTGTTTATCAATACTTGATTATACCAGACTTAATTTCAGACACAAACACACATAACTAGACACCATCAAAAACCATGAAAAGCTTCATTTCTAAGTGTAAACATGACAACACTGAGCTTATCCACATTGAATAACTAGAAATATTACTCTATTATAACAAGATATACAGTAGTCAAAAATAATTCAAAACTTTGAATATAACGTTATACATTTGATTCATATCATACCGTAGCCCTTGCATCATGATATATATTACATACATGTGTGATCCTACTATCCCAATACAAAGAAAATCAGACCCATGTAACAATTGAATTCATATCACACATACATGGAATACGGTCCAAGTACTTTTTTCTACTCTCCAGACTTGAATGATTGAGCCACCATTTTTGTTTATATAATCTCGCTTAGCGATAGCACAAATGACAATGAATTAGTATTAAACCATATCTTGAAACCTGTCCAAATACCCATGGGCTATAATTTCCACAAGCAATACCGTCATTACCTTTTTTGACAACAAATCAAGCAAAGTTGCAGTGTAGGCTATAGGGAACTCCCTATGACGTCATCGTATGTTTGTAAACGTCACATTCCAGGGGGAATCCCACAGCAAAGTACACAAAATTGAGAGACCATTTAAACGCTGTGTTATTGTGCAATGGGTGTGGTACTTTATAGTTAGTACTCCAATCAAAACAGTAAACAAAATAGTATGTAATAAAAGTCTATATGTTTTCAATATTGCACTCGGGCTTGGAGTAGTGATACCAGGAGTGTGCTATGCTATGCTATGCTATGTAATGAACATCATTTAAATAACAAGATTAATTATTTTATTAAAGGGATTGTGAAGGGTTTTTCTAAATTCCAATTTTCAATCAGATGTCTGTGGTTCCACTAGAAATAAGTGTTTGATGATGTCATTAATCACAAAATATGTTTTATTACATAAGGCCCATAGAGAAGGTGTGTTGTCATCAAAGACTTTGCTTTTGGGAATTGCTGGTACCGGTACCACAGGAGTCTTATTGAAATTTGGAATGGTGCAAATTGATGCTATCAGTGTCCTCTCTACACATAAAAAATTTAAAAAACCTCTTTTCTATGAATTTCTTGAATGATATTATATTCTGTGATATATTTAGGTTATTTTGTATGTTTGAAAGAGTTATTAAAGAATAAAGTACCATCTAGTATTGAAAAAAGTTCTACACCACCAACCCCTATAGCTTCAAGTTTGTTTAATCTTATTATGATCCCTGTACAATTTATTACTATCACTTCTAACAAGGAATTAGGGTTTGTATATTTCTTGCATTTTTACTCTATAAAAAAGTTATATAGACAGTTGAACTTTATAAGCTAGTATTGACATTGTCATATATTGTTGTCTATTTATGGAATCATTTATATTTGTTAGCTTGAAATTTGTGAATTCATGTGGCATAAAAATCTGGGGTTTTAAAACTGATTTTATTTTGATTATCTGTAAGCTTACTTTTCATTTATTTTTCTCACAATTTTGACTAGAGAGTACCTTCCAGCTAAATTCATGGTTTGGCTGTTCCAGAAAATCTACCAAAAATTAAGCCTCCATGAATGATCTTACAGTATTTTGTAATCTATTTGAATTGTATTTTTCAGAAATTTTGTGATGAAATCAATGTCTAAAGTTTTCCTGTGTGAAAAGTTTAGTGAACAAATTGAGTCATTTTTGCTACCAGCTTTCACAAATTCCCACCAATTTCCTTTTGAACATCTGATAGATAGCCTGATTAGTTTTGAGAAAGTGAAGGATGAATTACATACAATAGTCGATATTACACCATCACCTTATCTTTTATCATCATTATTAACATTATCACAGAATTTTATATCAGGTACAGTTATTAATATTACATCATCACCTTATCTCTTATCATCATTATTAACGTTATCACAGAATTTTATATCAGGTACAGTTATTAATATTACACCATCACCTTATCTCTTATCATCATTATTATCAGGTACAGTTATTAATATTACACCATCACCTTATCTCTTATCATCATTATTATCAGGTACAGTTATTAATATTACACCATCATCTTATCTCTTATCATCATTATTATCATTATCACAGAATTTTATATCAGGTACAGTTATTGATATTACACCATCACCTTATCTCTTATCATCATAATTATCATTATCACAGAATTTTATACCAGTTATACAGTTATAAATATCATCATATTGACATTACAACAGGCATGCATATTAATATTTGCACCATCACCTTATATCTTATCATCATATTTACATTATCACAGGCATGGATATCAATATTACACCATGATATCATCATTATGATTATATTGCAGTTGATATAAAGAATTGTGTGGTTATAAAATATATCAAGTTATTAGATATACTATTATCATCATTGATACCGCTTAATAAACATCAATATATGACAACTGATTCTGATAATGAAGATGATGATTTTATGGAACATGTAAGTTGACATTATCATATCATGGAATATTTCTCTTTGGTATGATGAAATACTTTTCGCTTCATTATGTTAAAGACTTGACTCAGTGTTAATGTATCCAGTGTATTGTGACTGTGATCCTGCCCTCTATTGTGTGTTTTGAATGATGTATATATTAGAATTTCTCTTTTCTTTGGATATTACATGTACATGTAATGTCGAACATTCAGTTTGTCAATCAAGTCTTCTCCTTCATGAATTTGTTGGTCTGTGCATTAACCATTGTGCGTGAAAGTTCTAGAAGGCAAACTGACTGATTTATTGTATCTTGGTGAAATTGTTCTTATTGCTTAAAGATGAACCCTATCGAGAATCAAATAAAAAAAAGGGCTGTGAATAAAGCTCTTGTAGTATGAAAATGTTACTCTCGGAATGTTTCATTTATTGATAGCTCTTGTCAACCATCAAACGACTTGGCTGCCATTACAATTGTAGGCGTATCACTATGGCCATCGCTATCAATTGATATTTCATATATCGAAAAAAACTATTTTAATAGAATAGTTGAGACAATTTACGATAGTCTTTAAATCTTCAATGAATGTATGATTGTATTATTATATAATAATTATAGGAAGATGAGAAATCCATTGAAATGATGTATTTAAGAGAAGAGATATTACAACAGTTAAATTCAACATGTCAGATCAAGTGTTTTATAAATTGTTTAAGAAGTAATAGTTACAATATAGATGTAGTTCAGAGTGTTTGTAGTATTTGTTATAAGTTGATGGCTGTACATATGGTTTCTATCAATAAAATGAGGTAAAGTCAGAAATTTGTTCCTTATTGAAGATGGGTTTCCTTATTTTTTAGTGTCAAATTAAGCAAACTACCTGTAATTGACTATATTCTCACTTACATCTGTTATTGTTATTACAGATTGTTATTACACATTACATCTCTGTTATTGTTATTACAGATTGTTGTGACACATTACATCTCTTTTATTGTTATTACAGATTGTTATTACACATTGCATCTCTGTTATTGTTATTACAGATTGTTAAATTACACACTACATCTCTGTTATTGTTATTACAGATTGTTATTACACATTACATCTCTTTTATTATTATAACAGATTGTTATTTCACATTACATCTCTGTTATTGTTATTACAGATTGTTATTTCACATTACATCTCTGTTATTGTTATTACAGATTGTTATTTCACATTACATATTGTTATTACACATTACATCTCTTTTATTGTTATTACAGATTGTTATTACACATTAAATCTCTGTTATTGTTATTACAGATTGTTATTACACATTACATCTCTGTTATTGTTATTACAGATTGTTTTTTCACATTACAGATTGTTATTACACATTACATCTCTTTTATTGTTATTACAGATTGTTATTACACATTTCATCTCTGTTATTGTTATTACAGATTGTTAGTACACACTACATCTCTGTTATTGTTATTACAGATTGTTATTTCACATTACAGATTGTTATTACACATTACATCTCTGTTATTGTTATTAGAGATTGTTATTACACATTACATCTCTGTTATTGTTATTAGAGATTGTTATTACACATTACATCTCTGTTATTGTTATTACAGACTGTTATTACACATTACATCTCTGTTATTGTTATTACAGATTGTTATTTCACATTACATCTCTTTTATTGTTATTACAGATTGTTATTACACATTACATCTCTGTTATTGTTATTACAGATTGTTATTACACATTACATCTCTTTTATTGTTATTACAGATTGTTATTACACATTACATCTCTGTTATTGTTATTACAGATTGTTATTACACATTACATCTCTGTTATTGTTATTACAGATTGTTATTACACATTATATCTCATTTATTATTATAACAGATTGTTATTTCCCATTACATCTCTGTTATTGTTATTACAGATTGTTATTTGTTATTACACATTACATCTCTGTTATTGTTATTACAGATTGTTATTTCACATTACATCTCTGTTATTATTGTAACAGATTGTTATTTCACATTACATCCCTGTTATTGTTATTACAGATTGTTATACACGTTATCTCTTCACTCATCATTTGTATATAACATATGGAATATATGTAAAGCTTTATCAACAGAAACATGTACAGGGTATGTCTTCTTCTATTTACATTTTGCATTGTAAAACTGTCATCTGAAAATATTAGGGCAAGGTATCGCCAATCATGCCATGATGCAATACGTACAAGGGTCGCGATATGGGGTAATCAGATTTATAACTTTGAATTTATAACTGTGATATTTGGAATGTAGTTGATGTATCAATACACAACCTCTCTGTAGGATACATGTATTGTATCATGATGTATCGCGATACACTGATTGTGAAAACTTATTCTTGATATTTATTTACACTCTCATGAAGCAAAGGTCATGTGAAAAATCCTTAAAAGTGACCATTTATTTTTTGATAACTATTCAATGTTTGTGCTGATATCTGTTTAATTTTATTTGTATTATAAGTATATCCTTACTAAACCTGTGAGTTGTTGTGACTGATTCATTAACTTTGATAAAGTCTCCTTTCCATCATTCCTGTTTACAAAACCTGTGTTTTTTTTATTTTCTAGATCAACAACATCATTACTGTCAATGTTAGGTAAAGGTTTACCGATGTATGAAAGTGATAAGCAACGAATTATTTGTATATTATATGTTTTCTGTGCAATGTTCAGCCATTCTTTAATAACATTACATGATGCTGAATTCTACGGTGAAGAAAGATGTAAGTTAAACTGTTCATTATATTTTGTGTTGTAAGAATAGTTGCTAGCATTTTTCATCTACATCAGTTAACTCATCCTAAAAATGATATTGAAATCTGAAATAAATACTGGTATCACAATAAATACTAGTATCACAATAAATACCAGTAGCACAATAAATACCAGTAGCACAATAAATACTTGTATCACAATAAATACCAGTATCACAATAAATACCAGTATCACAATAAATACCAGTATAACAATAAATGCCAATAGCACAATAAATACCAGTAGCACAATAAATACTTGTATCACAATATATACTTGTATCACAATATATACTTGTATCAAAATAAATACCTGTATCACAATAAATGCTAATAACACAATAAATGCTAATAACACAATAAATGCTAATAACACAATAAATACCAGTATCACAATAAATACTAGTATCACAATAAATACAAGTAGCACAATAAATGCTAATAACACAATAAATACTAGTATCACAATAAATACCAGTATAACAATAAATGTTAATAGCACAATCAATAAATACCAGTAGCACAATAAATACTTGTATCACAATATATACTTGTATCAAAATAAATACCTGTATCACAATAAATGCTAATAACACAATAAATGCTAATAGCACAATAATTACCAGTATCACAATAAATACCAGTATCACAATAAATGCTAATAGCACAATGATTACCAGTATCACAATAAATACAGGATTTGGAATATTATATATCATGAAGGGTGGTGGAAGGGATTGTTTGAAATAAATTTATTTACATGTTTACTCCTTTTCACCTGTGAATTAAAATTTAAAAGTAATTTTTTTGTTATTTTCAGCCCAATATGCAGCAATGCCCTTTTCTTTATCAGAATTAGTGCCAATGAGTTATTATCTAAGAGATGCATGTTTAGGTATATTAGATCTTGCCCATCCTGATATAAAACATTCTATTAATGATGAATATCAACATGCTCTAGTTCACACATTTAACAACAGAAAATCTGATCAAGATATTCAAGATGAAGAAAAGAAAACATGGATATGTCTCTTTAAGGTATGGTACTAAACTGTTTACCTAACATATTATAATTGATGTACTAAGAAGAGACACATATTACTCACTTCAGTTGTCTGTAGTGATAAAGGCGATGAAGGATCTTGACATGTGAAATTGCCATATTTGATATTTAAATCTGTAATGAATTTCATATGACACAAGCACAAGTGAAAGATTCCATTATTCAATAACTTAGCAGTAGAGACTGTGTCCAATTTTCAAATCTTCGTAACTCATGTCATTATATTTGGAAAAGCAAGAAGATGAAGTATGCAAGCCAGGGTTTGATTACTCTGGCACTGTTTCTCCAATCTGTGACAGAACCTTTAAGATGATAAATTCTGTCTATTTTAGGTGGTAGTGGTATTAGTAAGACAATTATATAATCGTGATACTAGAAGAAGATTTTGTCCTAAAACTCACTGGCTATCAAGTCATGTTACTGTACAGGCAAATAGAGTAAGTATATCATTATGTTATTGACACAAACTGTTTGATTCTGTAAACTTTCTTCTTCCATTTCCATGAATTGAGAAGGAGAGAAAAACAAAAAGACAAAAAATTTACATTATGAAAGGCCTTGGTTTGCCATTTTGGGGATTGATTCGGGTTGTATATTTTTGTAGTCTTTAGAACTGCACGAAAATGGCATAATCTGTTCAAATATACCTAAAACTAAACATTTCACTCTTTTTTTTATTTTGATATATGCCTTTTCTATATCAAAGAGTCTAAAGAAAAGAAAAGTCGTCATTTACACTTTCCCCTTTTTGAAACTAGTGAAACAGATAATGTAACTGTCCCTTTAAATAATTTTATAAGGGAATGTGGGAAATTGTTGAAAAATTTCAGAAAATTATCAAATGTAAGAAAATTTCTAGTTCTATTATGTATACAGGGATTGATGTTGCATAGTTTCAATGAAATACTGATAAACTAATATGAATGTATTTGTAATAATTATAGATATCACAGATATACCAAATACACAATTCTTTATTCAGCAGTAGACCTCTATATTCATTAAGTGCCCTCTGTAAAACAAGTTATAGTAAGTCAATTTTTTTTCAAATTGTCATTAAATACTACATTTACACTATGTCCTCAGCAGCCCTGTTTGCCTGTGTGCTTTTCAGTGAGGTTGATTACTTTGCTTGGAAAATTAACCCCCTTCTCGAATGCTAATTATCCTGATTAGGATGGTTTATCTGAAACACGTGTCAGCAGCATGAGACTAGCTGTAGTCAATTTGACATAAGAAAAGTAACAATATGATAAATGAAATGATTTTAATGATAATTTACAATATTTTAGATGATGAAAGTCCACCACTAGCTAATAGAGATGTCAGAAATTTAATTGTTTTAACAGAAATACCCTTTGTTATATCATTTGCTGAAAGATTTAAGGTGAGAAAATTATTGATTAAATACTTTGATATATTTATTGAATATGGTTGAAATAAGAAAAAGGGATGAGCTCTAAGTAGTTTCAAATAGATCCTTAAAGTTTCTTGAAAACAGTCCTTTATTTTCTTTTAAGTCACATCTTTATTTAATTGTAGTAGAACAGAAAGTTAGAATTCCTTTTTAAAAGTCTTGCATTCAGCCAAAGGTTATCTTTCAGCAGATAAAACAAAATGACTTATTACTAATAATAACAAACTGCATATTTTTTTTATAGATTCTATAAGCTAATATTCATTGATAGATTACATTATAGATTATAGATATATATTTTGATAGATTACAGTAAACATTCTATTCATATTTTGATAGATTACAGTATAGATTCTTTTTATTTTTTGATAGATTACAATATAATTCTATATATTTTTTTTTATAGACTACAGTATATAAATTCTATATATTTGTTTTATAGACTACAGTATATAGATTCTATTTATATTTTTATAGACTACAGTATATAGATTCTATTTATATTTTTACAGACTACAGTATATAGATTCTATTTAAATTTTGATAGAATACAGTATATATTTCATTTATTTTTGATAGATTACAATATAAATTCTATATATTTATTTTATAGATAACATTATAGATTCTATTTATATTTTTTATAGATTCTACAAAGGTTAATAATGGCTAATAAAGAAGAGAATCAAAGTGAAATGACCAACTTTTTAGTTGGACCCTCTATTAATATTGCTATTAGAAGAGATTATGTCTATGAAGATGCCTTTGATAAATTATCACCAGAAAATGGTAAATATTAACATGACAATATTGAAAGTTCAGAATTCTGATTACTTTTCTTATATAGGATTTAATGTGCGATTCACTGTTGGATCATAGGGAAGATGAATAAAGATTTTACAGAGACAGAGATGTAGAAATGAGTGAAACAGTTGTAAATATTGACACATTTAAGAGTTTGCACTTTGTCTCTACTCATTAAATCGTGCTTCTGTATTGCAAGTTTCTGAACTTATTGTGTATCTACTGCTAGCACTGAATCTACTATCTAACTGACCCATTGTATGTTCTATTTACAAATCATACTAACAACATTTGAAGTATAAAGAATTTATTATGACAGAGTCAATCAAACGTATCTGTACAAGAAAAAGAAAGAGTTGAAACTTTGAAACTAAAAATGTAATAACATTGTCTCACAGCGTGGTTCATGAAGAATCAGATTTAGGGATATCCCCCATGCAATAAGTCTATTTAAAGGCTGAAAAGTTATTTAATTATTCAAAAAAAAAGTCCCCTTTCATTGGGTTGAATATAAAACCTAGTAAAATTACAAAATGATTTGTTTATAGAAGCTAATCTGAAGTTAAAGATGAGAGTTCAGTTGAGAAATGCTGCTGGTTTAGATGAGGCTGGTATTGATGGTGGTGGTGTATTTAGAGAATTCCTGACACATCTATTAAAAACTGCCTTTGATCCTAATAGAGGTTTCTTTCAATATACAACAGACAGATTAATATATCCTAATCCTCATGCTTCACAATTAGAAGATAATTATATCAAACATTATTATTTTATTGGACGTATGTTAGGCAAGGTTGGTGTCTTGTCCATTACTAAATATAGATTATTAAAATAAACATAGTTTGTTTCCAAACATAAAGCTGAGGCTTCTAATGATGGTGGCACTGGAACTGTTGTGGTCGGCAATCTTTGTCGCGAACTAGAGTGTGACCGACCTGCGGTTTCTGAGCAAAGTAAGTGACTCATCTTGAATTTTGATGTAAAAATTTGACATTTCACCTTAATTATTATTCATTTTCAGGCTATATATGAAAACATGTTGGTAGAATTACCTTTTGCCAGTTTTTTCTTGGCTAAGATATTAAGTAGTCATGGTTTTAACTTAGATATACATTATCTTCAATCTTTAGATCCAGTCATGTATAGGTAAGTTTTTTCAATTCTAGATGTTGTTAAAGGGACAAATGCAGCATTCTTTTGACCAATCATACGTTAGTCTCAGAAACTGAAATTTGTTAGCTAGGCTTATCAGTAACAAGTGGTCACAGCTCACAGTTGAAATTTTAGCCTACAAATCTGTGTGTGTCAAGAATTATCCACGTTTGAAATTTGAAAATTCGACTCGTCTTTTCTGAAAACACTGTCATATATAGGAAATACATCTATAGAATAGGAAAAGAAATTCCTAGTTTGAGATATTTTTGAAGGAATTATGCGATTTTCGTTTATTCCTAGTACTTCTGAAGATTATATACATATATTCAGGACTCAAATAGTCTGCTCAAAATGACTCATCTGTCCCTTTAAAGATAGTAATTTATTTAATAATTCTAAAAATATGATTTAAATTGTGCTAACTGTAAACTAAATACAGTAAGATTTCAAGTACTTGTCATCAGTGAGGAAATAAATTCAGGCATTCATATTATTTCCTAAGTAGTTCTTAATTTTGTTCATAGATAATATAGTATTGTTGGATTTTACAATTAAGACTGTGTTTCTTTTTCTGCGTTTGTGCTGGGGAAAATAATTAACAACTCTGTCAATATAAAACATAGTATCATAAGTTTGTCATTTTTGTATTTGTTTATATTGTCAGAAATCTGCTGTCATTAAAGAATGAAATAGATGTATCAGAATTAGGATTAGATTTTTCTGTTATTGATAATAGTTTTGGAGAAAATAAGGTAATATTTATTTTCATACTTAATGTAGTTAAATCTGGTAACAAAGTCTATTTTAACTGTAGAAAAAATGTTTCTAGAAATTTGAGGGATAAGGAATGTTGTTGACTACAGTTATTGATTTTAAGTCAGGAAGTGACCAACCATGGGGGATTAAAGCTATGATTTAAACTTCTTTCATTTTTTTATGCCCACTTTATAAAGTGGACGAATATTACTGTCGTCCCTGCCTGTCCATCGGACCACAATTGGCATCTGAGTCTGATAGAGTTTGTTGAATTGTTATAAAATTTGTAGGATTATATCTACAAGATCTTGGATATGTTCAAATTTGGGTTCAATTCGACAAATATTGACAGAGTTTCAACCCTTGATACAGCTTGTCTGGGTAGTTGTAGCAGGCGGAAGAATTCTGTACAAGATCTCGCCAGTCAGGATCTCAATGATGCGTAGAGAAATCCGTAAAAAGTGTGAAATATTTCAGTAAATATTCCCCCAATAACTGACTAAAGCAGAGATGTTGCTCATAAGAAGAGTTTAATTCCACAAAAATTTCGGTAAGGGTGCCTGCCACCGGAAACGTTTTGTGGAATTAAACTCTTCTTATAATCAACATCTCTGCTTTAGTCAGTTATTGGGGGAATATCTACTGGAATATATATATTGTTATAGATTATAGAATTAAAACCAGGTGGAAGAAATATTCCAGTTACAAATGAAAATAAAATAGAATATGTTCATTTAATGGCCGATTATAAAGTAAACAGACAGGTAAGATTATAACTGATAGTTTTAATACTATAGAAATATTTTTACATACCTTTATTTCAATCATGCAGACATTTTTTTATGTCCAAAGTTTCCAGTGATTGAAACAATTATTTGAAGGTCAAAGGTTACCTGTATGACAAGAGCAGGCTATAATGCAGACTTAACTAATTGGCAAGAAAAAGAAAGAAAGAAAGAAGCAACTATATTTTACAAGGATAACAACTTCTAAAGGTTCACAGTTAAGGATCCTTTCTACCAGATGGTCCTTAACCAAAGAGATTGGCATTGATCTTTCCTGGATTATCCATACCCATTTACAGTTGGGTCGACAGGAATTATGAGTGAAGTCATCGGACTATCACACGCTGATCGAGATGGGAACACACAGCCGTGTAGTATCAGATTTTCCTTACTGAGGTCGGAACCCACAGCCGTTTAATATCAGAATTTCGTTATCCAGATCGGAACCCACAGCCGTGTAATATCAGATTTTTTGTTATTAGTTATCTAATATAAGGAACCTGAGTAAGTTAAGTGTTATAACACTATCAAATTTGTTGCTGGGTGATTGAAACCATTACATAATGATATGAAATATGTTTTATATTGTAGATACACAGCCACTGTGCTGCTTTTAGACAAGGTATGGCTGATGTTATAAGTTTAGAATGGTTACAAATGTTTGATCACCACGAGTTTCAAATTTTGATATCAGGTACATCTACACCCATAAATATTGATGATTTACGTCACAATACCAGTTATTCCGGTGAGTTTAATTAAATTAACCAATTTATATTGAATTCATATTTACTTTATTTGTTTTGTGGTGGTACAATACATTGATTTCTAAAGGAAAAAACTTTTTGCAAAATGTTTAAATTGTAGACAAACCTTACATGAGATTTTCATCCTGAAAAGTGTTCCAGATATTTCAAAGTTGAAAAAAATTTGAAGCCCATCTCCTTTAATAATAATAAATGTATGTTTTAGGTGGATTTAGTGAAACACATCCTGTCATTGAGTTATTTTGGAAAGTTGTAGCAAGTTTTACAGATCAACAGAAGAGTCAGCTGTTAAAATTTGTAACAAGTTGTTCTCAACAACCATTATTAGGTTTTAAGGTTGGTGAATATTTTGCATTAAATTATTGGTTATGTGAACTTTCTGAAAGGGTTATCAACATTAGTCAGTTCTTGTACATAGGAGATGATAATGTTGAAATGAAATAGAAATTGAAATTGTTTCATCTTAGAATCAGGAATCTGTTTAAGCAGTAATAATATAGTTTGCAAGTTAAAATAACCCCTTTTGCGATTCAATATCTCCTTTGATTAGCCAAAATCAAATTTTTCTTTTGGGTCTGCGAATCGAATCAATATGAAGTCTGCAACTGGAACATTTAGAATTAATACCAAATTTTTAAGAAATGCTAATCAAAATTTAAGTTAAATAACCAATCTGAAATTTGCCCCCCTGAGGTCTCTCCAAGTCTGTCGGTAATTTTTATCTTGTGCTCACTCTAAAATTTTTGTTCAAGTGTTTTCATTTTTAATTTGGGAACATGATCCACTATTTTCCAATTGATAACGAATGCAGGATAGGACACATCCTCAAAAAAAGTTGCTACAGAGAAAATATAATGGGTACAATGATATTTACCACTTTAATGTGACACTCAGTACTTGATATTTAAGTGATATAGAGAAAACTTGCTTGCAGTAGATTTTTCATATTCATAACAAGTTATTCATTTATATTATATTACAGGATTTATATCCACCATTTTGTATTCATGATGCTGGAACAGATCTTGATCGTCTACCAACAGCTTCAACTTGTATGAACCTGTTAAAATTACCTCATTTTACTGATGAATCCCTTCTTAGAAATAAACTGCTTTATGCCATTGAATCTAATGCAGGCTTTGAATTAAGTTAACTGTTTTCATAAACACACAATATGTGTATGAACTTAAAAAATGCAAATAAATTGAAGCTACCATCTATTACGCAAGTAATGATTTCCTTTATTGTCATTGACACATCAGATCTGAACTTATGCATGTGTGGAGCCTTCAGATGCAACTGTGTTAAAAAAATAGTATTGTACCATGACATCATTTGTGTTTATCTGCAGATGCTTCAATACATCAATACAATTGTTTTTTTAAGTACTTTTTATTGGTAATGAAATAGAAAAAATCTTGTGTTTGTGTAAAAGACCAATGAGTGAAATAAGTGTGTCCAGCTAACATTTTAATCAATCACATGTAATGACTTTGATAGATTTATCTATAGTATTATGCCAATAGTTTTGTCTGCTCAAAGACAAAGAAGGAACTTGTAAGATCTAGAATAAGTGATCACTTATGGTGGAATTGAAATGGAATATCTGTGTGTTGCAATCAGAAATAAAATCTAAGGGCCAAATACTGACATTTACAAAATTTTGAGAAAAATTGATCAAAGTAGCCTTGAAATATGAAACTGCATGAAACATACCCAAATTTTTTACTTCTATGAACATAAATGTTATTTATTAATATTATTAAGAGTATAAATAAACTGGAAATATTTTATTCTTTGTGTTATCTTTTGTATTACAGTAACAGTTTTATTAAATGCTCTTTATGAATAAAAAACTATGAGCCTTCCCGAGATACAGGCCATTAAATCTGACTCTTGTCGTTGGTGATGCCAAGCATAATTCTGTATTTTGAATAAAATATTTATCTTTCCATAAGTACAAACAGTCCAGAACAATTTATTTTCTTGTTGCACGAATCATCTTAACTCAATTTTCCAGAAATCAGAAAAAGCAACAAATTAGCTTGCCATGCAAGTTAATATACAAGCAATTGTGGACTGAATAATGGACATGGGTGACGCCAATATAAAAAAAATTATATATCAGCTTCAAAACAAGTGGTTGCCTAGCAAGATACGCCCTCATTCCTAATACATTTTCAGTATATCAAGGGCAGTCGCCAATCTGCGTCAAATCCTACACAAAATTTTAATCGAGCAAGATATTATCAAACACACTTCACCTCTATCACGTTCACAAGCCAACAAATGTTGATTGACTAAGTCAATATAAATGATCACACCAAATTTCACTTAAATCGGATGATAACTGTAGTCTCTATTGTGTTTACAAACAAATTTTGACGTGCTTATTCTATTAAGTCGAGGGCAATAACTCAAAAACAATTCATCAAAGATCTGCAAATTTGATCTTGTCCCAAATCTCATCAATATAAATGATCATAAAAAATTTCATCAGTTGAAAACTGTAGTCTTTATTGTGTTCACAAACAAATTTAACATGTTTTCCTAAGTCAAGGGCAATATCTCAAAAACCATTTAATGGACAAATCGTCATTTTTTAACTTGACCAAGATCTCATCAATATAAATGGTCACACCAAATTTCATTAAATCACATAAAAACTGTAGTTTCTATTGTGTTCACAAACAAATTTTGACCTATTTTTCGATAGTTAAGGGCAATAACTCAAAAACAGTTCATAGAAAAATCTAGGCCAATCCTGGCTTCTGTAAGGTTTTTTTATTCTCTCATTTATAATCAAGCACCAAAGAACCATTCTGTTTGAATTTTTTGTCTTTACATTATAGCTTTGTCATCACCATATTGGTAGGAAAGAACTCTCCATGTGTTGCATGGACTTCAACATGTCACATTAACTGGGAAGATAGTTTGCCAGTCAAGGTAATATACGCCCACTGGCAGCTTTGATTTTGAATAAAAATATTTGGCAGTACAGTAACAATTATCAGTATGAAATATTCAATCTTCAGACATACACTTCTTTTGAACTTTTCAAGGCGATACTGAATAATATTACCAATAACAATATTACTGATAACAGTTCATTAAAATCAGTCAAGAATTGGGCCTTCTAGAGTGTTTACAGACTAAAACTTGAACACGTTTTTAAGAACAGGGGCAATAATTAGATGACAACAAACACTCGCACCAAGTTTCGTCAATATCTGTCAATAATTTAAACTTTCTAGAGCATTTACGTGCTAAAAATTGAACGTGTTTACAAGAACAAGGGCACTCATATAAATTATTTTTCGATTTCGCTGATTTTCAATAGGGTTCATCCTTGGGTGATTACTAACACTCATGCCAAGTTTCGTCAAGAATTGTCCCTTCTGGAGTGTTTAAAAGCTAAAAATTGAACACGTTTTCAAGAACAAGGGTAATAACTCATACTAAATATTTTTCAATCTTTCTTCTGATTTTCGATAGGGTTTATATCCTTCGTCTAATTCCGTCCAGAATTGAGCATTCTAGGATGTTTACAAGCTCAAATTGAACACGTTTTCAAGAATAAGGGCTATAATTCATACTAATTAATTGATCTTTTTGATTTTAAATAGGGTTTATCCTTGGGTGATAACAAACACTTACACCAAGTTTCATCAAAATCCATCAAGAATTACGCCTTACGTGTTTACGAGCATTTTAAGAACAAGGGCAATAACTCATACTAAATATTCTTCGATAAAGGGTTCATCCTTGGGTGATTACAAACAACAATACCAAGTTTTGTCGAAATCAATCAAGAATTGTGTCTTGTAGAATGTTTACGAGCAATTGTGGACGGACGTAGGACAGGGTGACGACATTTCATGTGGACTAAAATACTAAAAGTAGTCATTGCCTTGAAGTGTGCAGTGAGGGAAATATGCCATGTTCACACTGCCTTAAAAATTGGCTTGCTCGCAGTAAACTGGATTTGGCACGGATACTTTTTGGCAGAGTAAACCTGGCTATAGAAAATGAGAGTTTGAATATGAACAAAATACCGTAATAAAGAATTCAATATTTTTATTATCTCCAAATACAACAGTTCATACAAATAAATATATAATAATACGGGACTGGTTACATGTTAAAACTTAAAGGGACAGATGCGCCATTTTTTTTTTTGCACCATTCATACTTCAGTCTCAGAAATCGGAATTTATTAGCTGAGCCAATCAGTTATCTGCATATGAAAGTTAAAAAGAAATATTGTCTTTTCTTGAGAAACTGTCATAATAAAAGACATCTGTGGAAATAGGAAAAGATATTCCTAGTTTGAGATATTTTTGAAGGATTTATGCGAATTTTGTACATGACTAGTACTTCTGAAGACATATATTCAAGATTGAAATCAACCCCTCAAAATGGCGCATCTGTCCCTTTAAATAAAAATATATGTGAGAGTTTGTATAGTAGAAGGAAAAGCTAAAATATTTCATCACTAAAATCCGGATATCATGATCTTCATTATGTAATTATGGTTATAACCTTATTTGCTCTCCATAAAATTCAAACTAACAGATAATCAACCAAATGTTATGTACAAATTCAAGCATTTATAATCATTGATTCTGGATAGATCCTGAATTTTGTTACACTTGATCTTATAAGTCCAACTTCTAAGCTTAAAATCACAGCAGTTTATATAATCTAATACCTTTGATATTTATTTACTTATAATTACAGTTATAATTTCTGTCAATTATTACATTTTGAAGAAGGATGATGTATCAAAATAACCAGACATCATACAACACTCAATGCATGTATGACAAAAATATTTCAATGAACGAATTTAGATATTTTTTCAATTTAAGGGATTGAAAACGTTTTCTAAATAATTTTGTGTATTGGGGACACTGATAGCATCAATTTGTACCATTCCAATTTTTGTTTCTGCAATTCCACAGAAAAAAAGTGTTTGATGACGTCACTAATCGCAAAATACGCTTTATCGCAATTAGTGGTGTCACTATTTAGTTTACTTGGAATTGCAGGAACCACAGATTTAGTGCAAATTAATGCTATAATTCACGGATATACAACAAAAATTTAAAAAATATATTTACAATCCCTTTAATAATAACAGACCAAACAATTCACACTGATTGGACAGAGGCAATAAACATTACACATGTTTCCATGACAAAATAAAAACATAAAATTTAGCAGCACTTCACAACAAAATAAAACCTCACAACTGAAACTTTTGGATTACTTCATGTAAGCCAATGAAATGAGACAGAATGTTAATTAGTTATCAACATAGCAAAATACAAGTTGCAATACATATCTTGATTGGCATTTCAACAACAAAAAATAGAAGTTAAAAAAAGTCCTCTACCACATATTTGATTGATAAATTCAATCAACTTCTTTAAGAGATTTGTCATTGAGTATTATTTTCATAAACACAAATTGGCTGGAATACATCATGATGAAGTGTCATGTTGACTAAAGGATTTGAACTAGATCTAAACACAGTCTGTTCATAGTGTGGATTCATGGAATCAACTGAACGTTAAAAAAAAAGTTCAGAACACATTCAACGTTCAGACAGAATTCAAAATGGCGGAGAAACAAATAGAAGGAAAACTTTGAATGTGACATATCCACTTCTATACCGTTTGATTGAGGGCAGATTTGGAACAGACAGAACCTATTCAGAACTCTACAATCAAGCGCCACCTTAGAATCACTATAATGGATTGAAGTCTAAATAAACACACAATATGAAAAAAAATTTCGGTGGAATTTGTCTAAAAATAATTTAACGACTAATGACTTCTAGCAGATTTTGGTATCATGAGAATAATGAATCTGTCACACATGATTATTATAACTTGATTATTATAACTTGATATTATGATAATGTGATAATTAATATAACAGGCACAAGTCACTACACATATTGTAATATTACACATGAGAAGGTTCTCTTCCACCATGTTTTTTAGAAATGTCATTGATTTTCTTACTACTGTTATTGATATACACCTATAAAATAAAATAACATATCAGTTGGGGTGAATGATTAATACATTTAGGAATATGTTTAGTTATAGTGATAGCCACCAGAAAGATCTAGACAACAAGAATCATATTTACAAATGATTTTCAAAAAGAAAATGAACAGAATCATTCTGAAAAATGTAACACAGCTCAGTTAGCAATTAAGCACTTCTAATTTGGGACTTTTCTCATAAAGTATCATATTTTGACCTCATAGATATAAGACATCAATAGCTATAAGACTGTAATAAAAGAGAAAAGATAAGATTACTTATATATATGTTACTATGAGATCAAAATATCATGGTTCCATACTTTAAAAATGAAAAGTGTTTTATTCTAGACCAAACAATATAGTTGGAGCTTTGAGATGTAGAACTGTTCTTTATACAAGAATTATATTCTCATTTTACACTATCTGAACTAAGTTAATAATAAAAAAAAACTTGCCATTAATGATTTACTGCTGAAATAAGGTCGTTCTACAGAACCATCATTGAGATCACAATCTTCACAGAAACATAACAACAAGGCATCAATAATACTCTGTTCATATAAAAACAATACAGTTAGAAGGCTAATCTGGGCATGAATTAGCATGACAAAACTGGACCTATCCATTTCCCGAAATGTGATACATGCATGTCCAATACACTTTTGGGTCACTAGTTTTTGAGAAAGTTCGCCATGTTAAAAGCCAGATTTTGAATAGATTTTATACAAGGCTGAACTATTAAAGGGTCAAGAGGGGAAGGATTTTGCCTTCTTTGTACAATAAGCCTCAACTGCCCTGTGAGTGTATTGTGATGATATCATGTGGGGCACATAGACATTGTAGAATATCTGACCATGTCTTGATGGACTCATTAATGGTTTAACTCTGTACAGACAAAAATTTATGTGAAATGTGGCTTTTAACATAGTTAAAATTCTTAAAAACTATTGACCAAAAAGTGAGCAAATCCCATGCAAAGTGACATTTTAATTTTGGTCCTAAATGTTACAATATCCCTGAATATATATCTATATATCACGAAAGGTTAGAGCCAGGTGAGTTTAGCCAAAAATCTTTCATCTTCGAATATTGGAATCTTCAATTTGTGCAATATTCATACTAACGTTGAAAAGATTTAAATAATAGAAACGATATTCACTATTTGAGTTTATAAACTTCATTGCTTTAAAAATTTATCATTTACCTCAAAAACAGAAAAAAAACAATGAGCTACAAAGTATGCAAAAACACAGCACAGCAGTACAGGAATGGCAAAATTATGTAAATCACCATGGCTCTGAAATAACATATTTTTCACATTGAGACACATTTCAACATATTTCTTGCAAATAATAGAAAATTTATTGTCTAGAGAAAAAAAACACAAGGCATTGTCGAAATTATAACAAATATTCTGATATATTAATAGAGTGGAGTTGGTACATCAAACATTACCAGTAGCCTCCCAAAATCTTGGTTCCTTGTAATAAAAAATCTGTACAAGCTAGACAATTCTGTTAATCAAAATTTTGTCCAAAGTATGGTGAAATCGAGAGTAAAAGTTGTGTTGTAGTGGACTCCACCAAAGAGAAGTACCATCAGGTGTTTTGAAAAGGGTAAGCATTGTCTGCTTCTCGAGCAACACGGGCCACTACCACAATGGTAAAAATCAAGAGATACAACCAGATCAATTCATGCCTGACCAAACAAATCAGCCAAAATGTCAAACATCTCTTCTTAAGAGCAAAAATTGTATTCAAGTTCATAATTAGCACAGCTTGATATGTAAATGGGGTAGAAATTGATAATTTTTGTAAATAAGACATGACCACAAGACAGAAGACTTGACCTACCTTCAACCATATGATACCAACAGCACAAGTGGCTCCTACAACACCTATTTTACTAAGAAATAATACAAAATCACCAATACTGTTGATGGATGAGACTTGTAAAATGTTGCTAGTTAGTAATCTAAATGCCTGAAATGAGTAGCATAAATTTATTAAGATTTAGATCTAGAATGAAGCATTATTGCATAAATAATTGTATTTGTGGGTACCAAATACTGTACATTTATCATTAAATGCACATTTTGGGATTCATTAATTTTGAATTTTTCTATTAAGTTTTTACATATTTTGGAGTAATTGGCTGACTAACTAACACAAAAAGTAAAAATAATTCTAAAAATTCAAAATAATTCAATCAAATTTTTTCAAGAGTCGCTTAAGAATTTCAACTCATCTTATCACAATCAGCTTGTGCAGGGGACAATCGCACAGAAACTGTTCTTTAAAGTAACCAGTCATTGTGGGCCCTCAAATTAAATAATACAAAAGTGGCCAATTGACCATTACCTTTCTAGCTGATATACAGAAATTTTTACCACTGATTGCTGAAAATAAACATAGTACACTGATCAAATTATCTATGTAGAAAAGTCATTCAAAAGTAAAAGACAGCCATTCTAAGCATTCACAAAAATAAACACTTCCACTAAGTCTGGTTAAAATCAGTCAAGAATTGTGACTTCTAGAGTGTTTGCGAGCAATCATGGACAGGCCGAGCGGAACATCTTGATGTGTGTTAGTAAATGCCTCGCACTGAGGCCCCAAAAGATCATCAAAGTCAGTGTCAAATATCTTTACTAAATTCCATCTAGGACGAGAAAGAGTAACATAAATTTCTTACCAATTATAGTATAAGCATTAGAATGTAAATATTTCAGGCACTTTTCAAAACACCATAAACAACAAGTACAACATTTCAAACAATATGTAGCACAGCAATTATCAGCATTTTTTATTCTGAAATCATTCAAATATTACATTTATCATATCTCTACCTTATAAAATGAAATAAATCCTGCACTGAAGTAAGTTCAAAAATGTTCTGGGTCAGAAAAAAAGAGGGTGAAAACCATAAAAAATTATAGGCCAAGAATTTTATCTTTTTTTACAATGTAGTTTTAACTCTTTTCTACATATGTACACATTTGCGATATATTTATCCACAACTTAAAATTGAACAGGTTTTCAAGAACAAGGGCAATAACTCATACTAATTATTTTTTTTATTTTTCTGATTTTCAATAGGGTTCATCCTTGGGTGATAACAAACACTCATGCCAAGTTTCATCAAAATCCGTCAAGAATTGATCCTTCTAGTGTGTTTACGAGCATTTCAAGAACAAGAGCAATAACTCATACTAAATATTTTTTGATTTTTCTGATTTTCAATAGAGTTCATCCGTGGGTGCTCCAAACAATCATACCAAGTTTCGTCAAAATCAGTCAAGAATTGTGTCTTCTAGATTGTTGCAGACGGACGGACTGACTTGGGTGAAGAAATCTATTAATAAACTTCAGGGTGATAATGAAACATGAAGAAAAAACATACTTACCTTTTCTTTACAAACGTCAAAAGTAATCTAGGAATTTTAACTATAGTTATTATAGCTGATCCAAAAGCAACAGAACCTAAATGATATGCTATTGTTCTACACATAGATTTGCCTATTGGAATACTTAAACCATCTTTATCTCTGTTAAAATAAATAATGCCAAATATTAATAACAACTACCATTTAATATCATTTATCTCAAAAGAAAAAATTAGGAAACCCATCTTTAAATGGAAATTGTACAAATTTTGAAGCTGTATATTAGAAAAAAAATGGTACACTTTCTTTAACTCTGTTAAAGCAAATACAGGACTAAGAAGTAGAATACTCACCTAGTAAAATACCAGGAAGCAACAGCACCTGATATAGTTAACTCTTGACAAGCTATAATAAATTCACTAGACCATATTAACCCTATTAAATGGTACCACCAAAAATATACCACTATTTCATGTTCTTTATATTGTACAAAACCATGTTTATTGATGGTGACTTTATCTAAAATAAAACAGTTGGATTAAATTATTTATCATGGTAATAATAAAGCTTAATTTCAGCCAGGTCTATCACTGGTTGTTTTCTCCTTACATAACAAAATATCCATTGTTGAAACTTCATCTACATTCCCTTCAGGTTTAATCTTCAAATATTCTCCTATGCATCTATGAAATTATATTAGAGTTAAGATGATCCCCCTATATTTTCAGCCCATAAATGAATTATGTAATTTATGTAACTATTTTATTGGGATCATGCCCTAACCCGTTTAGTTTTCTTCACTTAAAATTTGATTGCCTTAATAAGGGGAATATAAAAACATCATAGAAAAGTTTTGAAGCATACCTGATGTTGATATATAGGCCAAAATAATAACCCAAAACACAAAGAACACAATCAGTAGTAAAAAGGTCCATACTGGTTGAAGTAATAAACAAGGCATAGCTGCTAAACATTTACTAGCTTCTTGAAGTAAAGTCACTACCAATGATATTCTTTTTCTCATGATCAATATGACTAGTAATAATAGCAACTGAAATAAATCAAACATTCAATCTATAAATATACAGTCATTATGGCAGCCGAAATAAATCATACATATAATAAATAAATATTCAATGTATTGTAATAATAGCAGCTGAAATAAATCATATTTAGAATAAATAAATATTCAATGTATAGTAATAATAGCAACTGAAATAAATCATACATTCAATCTATAAATATAATGTACAGCAATAATAGCAGCTGAAATTAATCATACATATAATAAATAAATATTCAATGTACTGTAATAATAGCAGCTGAAATTAATCATACATAAATAAATAAATATTCAATGTACAGTAATAATAGCAGTTGAAATAAATCATACATTCAATCTATAAATATATAGTCATAATGGCAGCCGAAATAAATCATATATACAATAAATATTCAATGTATAGTCATAATAGCAGCTGAAATTAATCTTACATACAATAGATAAATATTCAATGTATAGTAATAATTGCAGATGAAATTAATCATACAAACAATGAATAAATATTCAATGTCAAGTAGCAATAGCAGCTGAAATAATCATATTCAATCTATAAATAAATATTTAATGTAGAGCAATAATAGCAGCTGAAATTAATCATACATAAATAAATAAATATTCAATGTACAGTAATAATAGCAGTTGAAATAAATCATACATTCAATGAATAAATATTCAATGTATAGTAATAATTGCAGATGAAATTAATCATACATACAATGAATAAATATTCAATGTCAAGTAGCAATAGCAGCTGAAATAAATCATATTCAATCTATAAATAAATATTCAATGTACTGTAATAATAGCAACTGAATTTAATCATGTACATACAATAAATAAATATTCAATGTAAATTATCAAAAGCAGCAGAAATTAATCATACATAAATAAATAAATATTCAATGTATAGTAACAATTGCAGCTGAAATTAATCATACATAAATAAATAAATATTCAATGTATAGTAGCAATTGCAGCTGAAATTAATCATACATAAATAAATAAATAAATATTCACCACGAATTTCTGCCAAACCATTTGCGCTTTGAACATTTCAAAATTAGATTATTACTTTTAATACAATAGATTAAGGCGAGCAGAATTTTCAATGTCCAGTTTTTTTCTCCTCCACTGACTGGAGCAGATATGTACTTGATTCTTAAACCAGAAATAAATATGTTTAACATGAACTTAACGAACAGGTCAAAACTTACAGTTAATATTGTAGCAATGATAGAAAATATGAGAAAAATGATTTCACTATCGATTTCTGCAGATAACAATGGTAGATTGACACGCTGATCATGGTCTAACTTCTCTTTAAAACCAGCGTAAGTCCACCATAAAAATGCAGAGGAAGCTGAAATATTAGTGATTGATTCTATAACAAAAAATAATCATTATCAAAGCCCTTTATAGATATTCTGGACTCATGGCCATGTATGCTAGGTTGCCTAGAATCAATGTTAGCAGATAAGAACCTAGAACATCCTACTGCTAAGATCGTTCCGAGAATACATGGCATGGAGACCACAAACATAAATACAGGGAAGATAATTGGTGAAAATAGATTGATATAGATTCTTGGTTGTTCTTAAGGCACATAATAAGACCAAAAAACTATTTTGTAATTTCACGAAAAGCATATGAAATGCAATTAAGGAGAGGTCATCATTTACACGCATGTGTTGATGATGGTCTCTCCCTAATCACATGTATTTGAGATTCATTTAAACTCCATTGTAGAAATCAAGTTTATCTTGTACTGTTTACATATTTATCTAAATGTTCATTAACCCCTTCTCGTACAGACACATAAAACTTTAAATCTAATAAGGACATTTTGCACAGTTTTTCCACCCATTACACATCTTAGAGAAAGTAATTACCTGTACTAGCTATGACTGATATGGCTAATATTAACCACACTATTATTGATGCTATATAACGTATCAATAAAACCATGATCAAGGACAGAGCTGTAAAATATAGAAGATATTTTGATACAAAAAACCAAGTTAAGGAAATCAGCTTTTTTGTAGGTCGAAAACTGAAAACTTCTTTTAGCTCAAATTTGTGAAAACTATACACCAAAATCTAGAGAATGAGTCCCTTAATGTATCTGAAAGTTTTAACTAAAAAAATTCAGCCATTTATTTTTAACACCAAAACTATTTAAAAAAAACTTTCGCTTTTTGGAAGCTGTTATAAAACTACTGTAAGGATCTAAGTATAATAAATGTCTAATTGTAGAGAGATATGTATCCTAAAATATTCAGGTTTCAACTAATGATATTAAGCCATTATAAAGCTAAACACCAAAACTAGGTCAAAATGTTTAATTAACAATTAGTACTCTCTGTAATCAATTAACAGATTGACAAATTCAGTTTGACCAAGAAGATACATAGATATAAATAGCATACTTTAGAAATATTTTCAGGTATAATTTATGATGTTTATGACAATGAAATTTTTTTACAAAAAGGTCGAATGCCACTTTAAACTTCTGGTGACAAGACCTTTGGATTCCTTGCTGTGATAAAGCATCTTGTAACATTATATGACTTCCAATTGAATTGAAATTAGTAAAACAAATTTTATCAACTGCTAGAATTAATAGTAACAGTAATCTCTTTTCTTAGGGTTGCTTGCTTGCCTTAAATAATGCATAGTTTAATTGCACAAGATGAAGTCGAAAGGAAATCGACGACGCCATAAGCAAGCAACTACCAAAAAATGTTCAAATTCAAGTTCTTATTTTTCCAAGATATGCACTCCTTTTAGATTAAAACTGTTTATTCAAGATTTTCTTCTAAATATGGAGTTCAGTATATCTGTTTTCCAATACAACCAACCCTGAGAATTCAAGTCCAAGTCTACCCATTAAAGTTCAAGATTCCCAACCGTTAGACGAGTGGTAATCTATGAGTCATACAAAAGTACAGTCCAACCACTTTATGAAAATCTTCGTCATTAAATTCTGCACTATATGATATTCAGTTTAACAAGATCCACACAACCACTATTATAAACAAAATTATGAAAATATACTTACCGAATGACAGAAAACATAGTCCAAACATTTCTTTCCAGCTTTTATATAAATCTGTTAAAATGTTTTGAAATATATCAGTATCATTTAAATATTTAATTATAGATGATGATATTTCAAACGGTAATCTCATTAATTCACTAGGAACACATCTGTTTAGTAAGGGAACACTGCAAATAGAAAACACACAAATCATTTTGATACATACTTTTATAATGGAATTTATTTTGTACTTTAATAACAGGATCCATTTTACGCTTTTACCACCAGTTTTTTAGGATCTTCCCAATAAATTCAAAATCTAAAACCTTATTCAAATACACCAGTATAAATAAACCAAGTACCGTACTAACAATCCAAACGGCAAATCAAAACCAGAATGGTGAAACAAAGGTAGCAGCTAATATATCAGTCATAATTGAGTAAGTATTTCATATATCAACAATCAAACCAACAACACAAAATCATCCCATTTGAACCAATCTAACTACCAACTACTACGACTACCAACAACTACCTAGTTTGCGATATCAGCATATTCTGGAACCGAACGATAACTTGGCATCTACCAACCAACAAAGTATAAAAGTGATATCAGGTGGGAGCATATCCTGCTTGGTATCACACAAATACAGGCCAAAAGTTTATTTTATTTTCATCAAGAGTGACAACAATGTATATCCATGTTTATGATAAAATATGTGCATAATATATCTGTTATACATCACTTTCATTTAACAATATACATATATTTTGTATTGCATTTGATTCCCATAAAGATAGTGGACCACAGCCATATACACCCACCACGGCATGCGGATGGTAAATATTCAAGATTGAACTTGATCTTCGTTTTATGAATATGTATACACATACCGAATTTCATTTGATTCCATCAAATAATCTAGTTTTTAGAGCGTTTACAAGCAAATGTTGACGGATGGACGGGCCTTCGTTTCATGAATATGTATGCACATACTGAATTTCATTTGATTCCTTCCATCAATCTAGTTTTTAGAGCGTTTACAAGCAAATGTTGACGGATGGACGGGCCTTCGTTTCATGAATATGTATGCACATACTGAATTTCATTTGATTCCTTCAAACACTCTAGTTTTTAGAGTGTTAACAAGCAATTGATGTTGATAGAAGCACTTACTGTATACAGGTTAAAGGGAGAGACGAAACCTTAAATTGAATCAAAAGCAAACTAAACTTTCTCAAACCTTTCGATTTAGGTCAATTAACATCCATTTTAAGTTTCATCAAAATCGGTTGAAAACTAAGAGAGTAATAGCATATTCAAGATTTTGGAGCAAGGGTAATAAGTCTGCTTCTAACGGTTGAATGAATGAATTTATGAATATGTCTACAAATACCGAATTTCATTTGATTCCATCAAAAAATCTAGTTTAGACAGACGGACAGGGGTGCCGACAATATATGTCCACATAGAGAGATGTGGGCATATAAAAATGATTTTGTTATCACTGTAATATTACAGCCATTGTAAATGGCAATAACTCTATAAGGACAAGGTATTCTCTTGATAAGCTGACAGTATGTGTTGTATGTGAAATGTGAATCAAAAATTCATAAATGGTATTTCCAATAGCCATATATATATTGTTCTTCTTTACTCATTTCTAAATGTCTTATAAAACAAGATACAGATACAAATGACAATTGTATAGCCTATCATGATGTGAAAATGCATAGTCTTTAAAAAAAAATGCTAACCTTGTTTTGACAGGTGTAATAGGACAAGGTCCTAGTTGACTTCTGTTAGTGTGTGTATATCTTTCTATATCTATATCATAACGACACAGAAAGGAACCAGTTTGAACAGAAAACTGATATACTTCTTCTATATCTTGTAATTCTCTATCAGGACAAGTATTTACACATATGGCTAAAGATTCACTTGGGTTGTTCATATCCATGAAGAATAAAAACCTGCAATAAAAAAACAAAGGAATAGTTCAACAATCTTCAAAATGACAAGAGATGAGTTTCATGTCGTACTGTAGTTTCGCTTCCAAATTGCATGAATGAAGTTAGAAAATGTATTTTTCCCTCTAAGACTCTGCATCCTGCATAAATGGAAGGGGAAATTCGAAAGAATTATCTCAACTTATGCCCAGATAGTCAGTTTAGAAAGCAAGCTTCTAACTCACTTCAAACAACATTGTGTAAAATGCTTGAGTGTACACTTAAAGAGACATTTTGGGTGGGTTGATTTTAGTCTTGAATATGTCTTCAGAAATGTATGAAAATCGCATAATTCCTTATACAATACTTCAGACTAGGAATTTTGTCTTTTCTGTATATCATAGGAAAAAGCGTCTAGTCGTTCGGATGGGACATGTGCTACGTTGCAAAGATCCCTTGACAGTTGGAAATCGAAAAAGAGCAGGCTAATGCCGCTGTCTTGGCAAAATTTACCTCATTGCACCCTGCATGGCGTTGCCCATCTTCATTAGCCCACATGGTGCAGAAAAGTAGGACGTAAAACTCCATTCATTTCATTTTTCTGTATATCATAGAGTATCTTAAATTGACGAGCCCTCAATTTAACATTCAATCACAGATAATCCTGGCCACACATGGATTTCAAGTCTCCAATTTCGAGGGTGAGCTGTGAACACTAACCAGCTGACCAGCTTATTTAAAAAATTCTCGTTCCTGAGACTAAATTATGAAAATCGTCAAAAAAAATGGCGCATCTGTCCCTTTAACTAATTTTGGCAAATATGCATATGCTTACGGTTTTCCTTTTTGGTTTAATCCTGACAGTGAAATATTGTTAATATTTTTGCCAGTATTATCTTCATCACATGTATTACCATAGCTGTCATAGCCATAGACTAGGCGAAAAGCATCACCATAATTTACAGAAAATACAGCTACTATTGCCTACAATGAAAGACATGTCATATTTGAGAATTCCAAACAAGTGTGTTATGCAAGTTTCAAAGACATATTTCAAGAAATAAATATTAAAAGCTGTCATTCACAATACATTACAGTCACCAAATATAGGCACACAATCAGATCAAGATGATAATTATAGAATCAAAATAAATAAATATTGAAAATTTGTGATTAAAATTAAAGTTAGAATACTGACAATCTGGAAGAAACGCTTAAAAGGTAATATACACTTACCATACCCCCTAAATACAGTACAAATATTATCAGTGGAACTATATCAGTACATCCTCTATTTTTGAGTGGACTACTTAATAAACCCTTTCTATCCATTGATACCTAGAAAAATACACAAATATAGTTTTACTCTCATATTTCTCTATACCGTTCAAAAATACAATGACATCCAAAAAGCAAAAATTACAGCATATGACATCGAAAAGTAAAATTACATCATGACATCGAAAAATGAAAAAGTAATGTCAAAACGAGGTACATTCCTAGAGCCCATCAATGTCAACAAAATGCTGAATGTCTATATGTTTAGCTAATGGATAAAAATAAACTTGGAAAGTAGCCCAAATTGCACTTGATCCTCATTGAGGTTTATGAATACACAAAGCAAGTTGTATCTACACTGGATAAAAACTTACAGACTCCAGGGCCCCGTTTCTCAAAACATTTTATGATCAATTGTAAGTTGCAAGTGCTGATTTCATAATAAATGGCGTTTCTCAAAAATTATCTTAAGTTCACAACTAATTCTGGTGTAAACTTACAAGTGGTCAAGGCTATCGTAAATAACAGACAGTAAAACCAAATGGTTGCTCTTTTCACAATAAATAATCAATGGGAAATAAAGGTTACTTCGAGATCAAATTTGATCCCTTAGTGTCTTTGACTGAGCAAGAAATTATCAAGAGGTACGGGCCACTTAATTTTCCGAGAGTTTTTTTTATGTAGGCCTGCGATGAGCAATTTAGCCTCACCCGAAAAAAATCATCCCCTGGAAAACAGTTTTAACTTGGCCAATCGGCCAAAATAGCCCTACTGCTATTGTCTGCTGTAAATACAGAAGAAGATTTCTCTTATCCAGAGATATATAATCAGTAACCGACTGAATTCGATCTTTTTGTGGCTTTGCCTTTCATAGACAGTTTGTTATCTGCTACTGAGTCAGTATTGTACATGCTCAGTATAACATCTCTTGTCTTTTGACAATTTTTATTGTAAGATTATTCCTAACACTTATGATAGTTTTTGAGAAACACACATTTGTAAACTTACGACAATCATAACTAAAGAAATGAGTAAATGTGAATAGACAAGAATAACAGACAGATGTGTGGCAGTTTAACAAATTAGTTTTTAGTTACCAGTATACCTTACAAAGGCCTTTAAGCCCTTCTTGATGATCACCCCTTCATATTTTCATCAACTTGTTTTACGTCAGTTTCTCACAGACACAAAATCTTATTACCTTTCTAAATAATAAGAAAATTGAGAATTACATTCAAATGTAACCACACAAAGCTTTCTATTTTTATCAATGCAAAGTTATTTTAAGACTATCAGTACAATTTCAAACTCATATTATAATTCACAAACAGTAACTTCAATTTACCAACAAAAGTGTGAAAACAATAGGCTGTAAACAGCGCCTATGTTGAGGTCTAGTGAAAATATAGTCTCGCCAACAGAGTCCTAGAGCCATTTTTTTATCAATCATACTTCAGTCACAGAAACGAGAATTTTTCAGCTGTGCCAATAAGTAATAATCTTCACAGTTCACCGTTAAAATTTGAGCCTTTAAATCCATGTGTCGAGAATTATCGGCCATTGAATGTTGAAATGACGACTCGTCAATTTAAGATACTCTGTGATAGAAGACATTATAGAAATAGTGAGTAAAATTCCTAGATTTTGCTGTATTTTTAAAGGAATTTTCTTACATTCCTAATACAGTGCTTCTGAAGACTATTTACATTCAAGACTATAATCAATCCCCCAAAAATGGCACACCTCTCCCTTTAAGTGCACTGGAAGTTTTTTTTCATAATATGCTCTCCTGCATTTTTTTCTGGGGTGGGGGTCGTGGACTTGAGCTGCTGATCATCAGGTAATTTCACAAATATTGATGCCATTAAATTAAAATGTGTGATAACATAATTTTTTTATCATCCAATAGACAATCTCAAAGCACAATTCATATATTTCAATGTAGAATATAAAAAAATAATTTGGCCAATTTGTCTCCGTAAGAACTGTGACTGTCGTCACACATTTATAATGTGTCAGGGAATCAGATTCACGATTCAGTCTCAAAACATCACTTTCTCAGGAGAGAGTTGTCTGCCATTATAAAGATAGGGTACATTGGTTTCAATGAGTTATTATGTCGACTTAAACTTATCTGCATCTTGGATTTTATTCAAATTATCTAAAAAATCGTTTAATCAAAGATATACTAAAAAGAAATACCCCAAAACACCACTTCACTCTTTCATCTCTTGCAGGAATAATATTTGCCATCAACAGGTTTGATGTCGTAAAAAGATGGTGTGACTAGTTACCGCCATGCACCTAGACTCAAAAACTAATTTATAAATAGGCTATCTCTTCAATTTACTGACAGTTTATTACACCTAGTTTTTCCACAAAATCCATTTTAATCAATAGCAATAACCCAAATACATCAAATTCACTCAGCAAATTTCAAAGTTAGGGCAATACTTCACAAACAGATTACCATCCAATTCAAACCTGAACAAGGTCTCATCAAATAACAGATTTGTTTCAAATTTCGTCGAATCGTAAAATTATTGACTCTATCACATTTCAAAATTGTCAATTCAAACTTGATCGTCAATATATACATGCATACCAATTTTTATCAAGATCGGATATTTAATTTAAACTGTCTATATCGTGTCTACAAGCCGAATCGGATGCGTACTTACGAGGTCAAGGGCAATTTTTTTAATCTTATCTTGATTATGATACTGATATAAGGAATCTATCAGTATTAGTGCTCCAACCTGCTTACAACACTTATGAAAAGGAAAACAAATGCTTACAAACTTCATATTAGAACAAAAAGTCAAAGGGGAAGTAAAGTATCTGTAATGCTCCATAGTTACATGTTTCTGTATCATTGTCAATGTTATATCAGTGTTTTAATTAAATATAATATTGATTTAAAAGAAAACTGTCTGCAATCACATGACCCAAAATGTTTTTCAAATTTTGTAAGTCCAGTGAGACAAGAGCATAAACTGGTTTAGACTTTCTGATTTGATGTAGGTCTCAGGTGTATTGCAATGATAAGTGGGTGTGTTTAGAATGGAAAAGCCAGGCAGCGTATTCCCCAAATGGTATGAGCTCTAAGATACAGTTCCTAGGATCAATCCTGAAGTTCAATGTTTGTTAATGAATTTCATCTCATGAATGATTAACAGCAGTATCTCAGAATCAAAAATATCTAGTCACTTTACTGTCAAATTACATAGCAGCAAAATGAAAGAACTATATTAACCTATGATTTTCTCGAATTCAAATGATAACTTATGTAAAGGTACTATTTCCATCTATGCTGGTATCAAATTGCACATTAACAGGCACCGAGTCACTACAGCTCAAATAGCCACTTCTCCCATGTCCTGTGCATCAATAAATAATTGTACAATCATATAATAAGCTTTTTATTTATTTACATATGTACAACTTTTATTATGTGCTTGGTTCAGCACCAACAGATACACCATGTCCACTACGACCACAAGTCATATTCGTACATTCTGCCCATTCATCTTTATCAGCATCATAACATTCCACTGATGATAAGAAGTCTTCACCATCATAACCTCCTGTTATTAAAATCATAATGGAATCAAACAGTTATAGTAGACATAAGGGGGTTATATTCTGTTTATGTGAGCCAAGATGTATACTTATAATGACCTTTATAATATATATTGAAGTTAATTGTATTGTAGTGGAAATTAAAAAATTCATGAAGATTTTGAAAAAATTTGAAAGGTGAAGGATTGTTTTAGCCTTATGTTTTAATACTAAAACACAAAACAAACACAAAGATCTGCAGATAATATTGGACTTCATCTTACAGCAAGATTTTTCTTATCTTGAATTATTTAGAAGAGATGGCCTTAAAACCATTGTAAAGAGGTTTTCTTTCCTTTTTGAGTTGTATTTGGGACACTGATAGCATCAATTTTCCCCATTCCATTTTTGTTCTAATGTGATAAAGCATATTTTGCAATTAATAACTTCATCAAACACTCAGTTTTAGTGAAATTGCAGGAACTACAGACATCTGATTGAAAATTGGAATAGTGCAAATTGATGCTATCAGTGTCCTCGATACTCATACATTTTTTAGAAAATCTCTTTACAATCTCTTTAACGAAAGAGATGATAAAAGACAAATCTAATCCATTAAAACTAGGTACTGTATTTTATAAAACTAAATGGTTTACCTAATGCATATAGTTTATCATCTATAACTGCAACACTAAGAGCACTTCTTGGACTGTTCATGGAAGCCACAAATTTCCATGTGTTTGATTCAACACAGTAACGTTCTACTGTTCTTAACTGACAATTACTATCATAGCCTCCCACAGCATAGATAAAGGAATCCATAGTAGCAACACCTAGAAAGAAAAAGAAAACAATTTTCTGATCCACAAGATTTCGTATTGTTTTGCTGATGTCATTTTCCATTTAATATAAGATAAATTATTTTTTCCATTGAATTCTATAACCTGCAGAAAATCTCTTGAAATTTGTTGTGCCAATTGTAATAAAATTCAAACAACCCCTCGTTTCATGAACAGCAAAACCCCTAAAAAAAAGTTACAATACAATAAAATGTATTAAATTAAAGATGGGTTTCCTTATTTTTTTGGTGTCAAATTAAGCAAACCATTTGATTAATTGGTGTTTCTAAAAAATTACCATGTATTCTTAATCATATCATTATGTTCTTATTGTATATAATTAGGAGTTTTAAATAATCATAAATGACCATGTATGTACAAATAAAGACTTTTTGACGTTTTTGATTGGTCACTAATTGGAATTCTGCTGGTAATTCTCTTCTATTTTAGCTAATTATGAATTAATTATGGACATGTGAGACTAACTGGTATTTTTCCAAGTAATTAGAACACCTTTACGTTCAATTCATATAAGTATTACCAGTAGCATTTTCATAAATAAAAGTAAGGGAACCCATCTTTAATAATCCAACCTGCACCACTTCTCATGGTATTCATTGGAGCTACAAAATTCCATTCATCTTTTTCTGGATTATATCTTTCTACACTACGTAATCGATTTTGACCATCATATCCTCCAACCGCAAATAACAGTCTATTGACAACAGCACATCCCACCCCAATTCTTTTTGTTGACATTGACGCTACTGCTTTCCATTGATCAAGATCAGGATCATACCTGAAATGTAGGAGGCACCTTTCTTTGTATTGGATATTCATACTAGATGTCTATATTCAAAATAAAGCACAAGGAAATACAAATATAATAAAATAGCAGTATCCATGCTATAAATTATCTCATTATCATCAAAAACATACTAAAACCGTAATTGAAATGCAAAAAAAAAGCTTCCATAGAACTGTAGCCTGCTGACTATTCAGGCTTTTTAATTAATTTGAAATCAGACTTAACAAAACATTGATAGAAATCAAACAAAGTATGTTGACGAACATTCGTCATAACATTGTTAAATATTATACCATCTGATTCAAGTTTTTTAATATAGAAAGTATTATACCCACCTTTCAGCTGAACAATGATGTTGTTGACCTTGAGAACCACCCACAGCATATATCATATTATCTATTACAGCCACTCCAACACGATTTCTCGGAACAGTCATGGGTGTTCTAGGAGTCCATGCATTTCTTAAAGTGTCATACATATCAGCTGATGCCGAATCCATGTTACCATCAGGAGAATTATTTCTTCCACCTATGACATACAGTGTACCACGGGCATGACATGCAGACAAACCACTTCTTGGTACTAACAAATCTGGTAATCTGCTCCATTGATTTAACTGAGGATTATAACACTCAAAATTACTTAAAGATTGTCGTAAATAACCTCCTGCACAAAATACAACTAACGGAGAAAAACGTCTAGGTCTCTCAGGACACTTTTCATGAAGCTGTAATTTTTTCAACTTTTCAGATAAAGTTTGGAGACACTGAGGCATTTTTTGAAGTATCTTACACCCTTTTAGTTGTGATTCTAAAAAGCATGGAGATAAAAAATGAAGACGAACAGCATTTAATAAATTTTCAAGTTTCAGAAGTCTTTTATCAGGATCATATTCCACCCATCTTATAACAGCCTGAAATACTTCAGACTCACATTTGATATTCAATTCATCTTGTTTGATTAATGATATCATTTGACATGGACTTAGCATTAAAAATTCATCACATTTAATCACTTCACAAAAATTCTTCAAAATAAATGTTTTAGCTTTACTTTCCAATTCAGTACAACCATGTTCACTAGCAAAGTTTGATATTCCAATGCAATTACTCGGATCCAATTGATGTTCCAGAAAAACACTGCAGGCTTCAACAACATGAGTCATTTGAAACATTGTGGCAGCCGACAGTAAATAACATACATTTAATTCATTAATACGTATTTCAGCTGTATAAGCAAATTCAATTAAAGAAGAGAGGGTGCAAGCTGATATACCATGTAAGTGTATAACGGACATTTCTTCTTCTCTCATTCCTCCAGTAAACATTGCACGGAAATATGGACTGGCAGCTGCCAACACAATTTTGTGAACTAAAAACTTTTCCTCACCAACTGCTAATGTGACATCACATAATTTATTTGTGCGCAGTAATATATTCATTATTTCTAAAGCTTCCTTGGGATGTTTCATTATTGTAAAATGCATGCTTCCATCTGGAGGTTTTTCAGTCATCAATGGCTTAGGCCTATAACAAGATGAAGTTGCCATATTGATATTTCCACTATGAATCATAATATCATAACTTCATCAAGGTAATCTGGATTTCTTCTACACTATATACAAAATAAATAAAAGGCAAAATTAAAATATATAAGCTTATAGTGGAATGCTTTTGTTTTGACAATTAGGTCATTATTTTTGACCAATCATACTTTAGTCTAAGAAACTGGAATTTTTTAGCTGAGCTAATCAGTAAAAGTGTTCACAGCTCACCGTTGAATTTTGAGCCTTCAAATCCATGTGTGACCAGAATTTTCGGCGTTTGAATGTTAAAATGATGAATTGTCAATTTAAGATACTGTGATATATAGAAATAGTGGGTAAAATTCCTAGTTTTAAGTAATTTTATAGGAATTTTGTGATTTTTGTAGTTTTCTGGAACTTCTAAAGACATTTTACATATAAAATCAACCTCCCAAAATGACACACCTGGTACTTTAATCTGCACTGAATGTGCATTATCAATATATCTGTTCTAAAGATGGATCACTGAAGAGTTCTTGGTCAAATTTAGACTGAAACACTGTCTCTATTCTAGACTCTGAAAGCTATTTGGACAGATGTCAGCTGGTGTAGAGACAGGAATAATAAGCCCTGTTAGATGGGGACATTCCACATCTACACAGGTGCAGGGGTTTATTTAGATACCTTGGATCTGCAAAAACCCAGGTATATTTGGAAAGATGAATATTTTTGTAGTTCGGTCATACTATCATTTTCTTCCTTACACCATTTATGTCATGTATCCAATGTATCAAAGTATAAAGGATACTTCTAGTTTAAAATTTCAATGTTTTCTCTAGATTTGTCTGTGTATAGGCCTACATATTATATCTAAATAGTCATTAATCTGAGCAACTAAGGTAAAGGGGAAGGATAGGGACCTATAACTTAAAAGCCTTAAAAAGGAATGAATAAGCAATAAGGCTTCCTACGTTTAATTTATGTGAATTATCAAAATCAAACAGTAAAAACACTTTGTAATATATTGTTTGATAATCCATATGAAACAAAAATATTTTCGTCAACAGTAGGCCTACAATATTTAGCGAATACTAAGTAGCCTTAGATCGAGCTTGGCCTACATTCTACGATGACAGGCAAAAATTGCTCATCATGGTGTCCTAATTTATTATCTTTCCGATAGGTTAGTCAAGACAATAAGCATATTATTTATTATATTACCTGCCTCGTTGAATATTTCCCATTTTATAGAAAAACCAAGCATACGACTGAGATTTTTCCATCAACTTATGCCAGATGACTTTACCCTGTTATTAAATGATTTTGCTTTGATGAGCACAAAACTACCACAGAAAAACTTCCTTGCTACACTAGTTTTATGTCACTGACAGCCGACTTTTCTGGGCTAAAGATAGGACTACACTAATATTTTAGAATGGCTGTTTGAAACTGAAACGAATATTTAATTATTGTTACATGATCTACATAGGCCTACTTTTTATTCTTGGATGTTTGCAACTTACATTTTAATAACGACAAGATCAAGACTTCTTCTTTTCACCTCACTGAGTCGTACGAGCTTATTAACATAACTCAATTATTTAACAGTTCTATTCGTCGCACGTGGTAAATATCTCTTGCCATTATTCAATACTACCAGAGCCTATATAAACTCTGTTTATATAGGCTCTGATACTACTTAATATTATTTTGTACGGAGCCAAACTCTCTGGTATCATTAAGCATAGGACTGATTTGTCAGTATACAGTTCTATGCATTAAGTCAATACGATAGAGTGGCTGATGGATACACTAATATTTTGGAATAACTGTAATTGTTGCAATTAAGTAAAAAATGACCAATTTTTGCACAGTCCACTGCAGTAAAGGGGGTGAGGCAGACTTTTTGATGGAATTGGCAGAAATCTACCCACATTGTACCATCCCACTTGTCAATATCGCAAAATTTTCAATCCAAACTGTGTGCCAGTCTGACGAAGCCAACTCTACATTATGGTCAAGGACAGTGGCGTACCATACCCATAGATGTATGCTAGTTATAACTCTATGACCATACCCGACTGATAAAATGAACCTGTTCGTAGAGTTAAACTGTGAGGTGCTAGATTGCATTACCGAGCTTCAATCTGAGAAAAACTTGTGCCTAACTAATCTAATCCGCGTTAAATATACATGTAGCCTACATGTAGGCCTACTCAGATGCATTGAATGTAGCCTAATTATACCGACCATCTTTTTATTTCGCAACAGATGATTGTCCTATGAAAATTGACAATTTGACAGAATACTCCCAAAATCGAGTCGTGAGATGTATTCTTCGAGTTTTAGATCAGAATTTATGAAAATTGGCTAGTTTTTTCCGATGCTCTCTAACTTTAGGTGCCAGCGAGGTTCTAAGATGTTAATCGAAAAAATTCAAATGTAAATTGGAGATAAATGCTTTTTATTCTCATAGTCTAGTTTCTCAAATCCACCCACATCATATGCTGCCTTCCCACCTGTCAATATCGCAAAAATTCCAATATAATGGTATTTTCATGCTAACACTGTGTTATTATACTGGCCAAGCAAAGCCCTTAACAGACGATTAAACGTCGGGAAACGGACTTTCATGGAGTATTTTAGATTCGAGATTATTTTTGTTAATCACACAAGTTATAATACGTTACATTTTTATTACCGTTTTAGTTTAAACGTAGTCGGGTATGTTCTATGGCAAAACGTTGAACAAATACGTCCAAGTTAATTTTCTGGGTACGCTTCCTGTTGAAGGCAAGAAGAACAAGATTGCGCTGGCGAAGCTGAGTCATAGATCGTCGTTGTGGTGAGTCAACGCGAGTAAGAGTTGAAAAGCTGCTTTCACACACAGCGGTACTAGAATCGAATGCAGCCACTGCATATAATTTAGGGAAAGCCAATTTCTGCTCGGAGATTGGAGTCCTGATTTTCTGTCTTGGCAACGTTATATTGAAGAAATTGTTTTGACACCTCAATTGTTATTCTCTCGAGGCCCTTTCCAGTATCACCTACAGCATGCTTCCAATCAGTGTAGCCTTCAGTGATGAATTTTTATGCACCCGCAGATGTATTGTGAAACACCCGACATGGAAATCAAAAAGGGGCGTCCCTTGACACTGAATACTCCAGCCATGGAAATCGATCATACCAGCTGTTACTAAAAAGGCAACCAGACTTCGCTGGAAATTTTATTCTCGGTTGCTTTGGAACATCTTCTTTTCCAATGTCACCTGGTACTCCTGTCTTTTCAGAGCATCTTGGTACTGCATCCGTTGTGTTGCCCGCTGTGGTTTTGATACCATTGTCAGTCGTAGTAGTGTCGGAACCATCAAGCAATTTGTCTTTTTTGATCAAATATTTATCCATTTTTCGTACGTTTGGTTGTTTGATTCATATGAATACAATTTAGGACAATATATGTCTATTAGTATTTATAATCAACCAATCAAATCTTTTGAATTTTGAGACGGGACAGATTACAATCCAGTATCAGACCAATAATTTTATTACCAATGACGCTTTACTACAGCCGTTTTATGATTTTCAACGAACTCAATTGTATCAGATTGTCTATTCTAATGTAATTAAATTAAAAATGTTATGAAAAGCCATGATGTCTGGTTTCATCCTCAGCTAAGTATATACAGAAAGATATTTAAAAACAGTTCTTAAGTAGGTCTACAGATAGGAATACTTAGAATTTTGTTGAACCATTTCGCATAACGCAGCCCTGAAAGCCATAACCTTATTTTTCGTTACGTATAATCAAAATATCGAAATACTCATCATATGATCGACAATGCAAGAGCAGCTGACTGGTGCACTTACTCCACCATAAAATGCCTGACCAGAATGACCACTGTTGGCTATTCACTCAGACTCAGTTACCTGCTGCTCCTATTAACTCAGGAAAAAGAAAAGGTGTATTATAAAAAAGTGACCGGTACATTTTTCTAGGGGGGCAAGATTTGATTTAGGGTGGGCAAAGCCCACGGTGTCAGACTGACCATCAAATACGAGGGCCAGCCTGATAACATCAGAAAATGTTATATTTGTAGTGAGGGGGGTCATCTTGCAAGAGATTGCAAGAAACAACCACCGACCCAACCCAAAGTTCAACCCGTTCTATCATCGGACTCGGATGACGAGAACTCGCACTCAGTGGCAAATGAGACCGATATCGGTCTTCTAGCCTAGTCGTATAGATCCACTAAATGCCAAAATTAGTGGCATCATTAATATGGCTCGTGCAAATGCCCAAGCTGCCCCAAGGGATGCCTCGACCCCCTACCCTGACATGATACAAGATGATGGTCAGGATTGGGTTGACCTCAACACTGGCAATGAAAATAGAAGCGCTGAAGAGATTGATATATGAAACATACAGGTTCCCAAGCCAATCTTCCCGGATCAGAAAAAACCCTCTTAAGTCAGAGCCTAAGAGGTGAAGCAGAACAACAGAGACCAGATTTGACAGGCTCATTTTTAGAGACTTCAACAGATCTGGTCGAACATAAATTGCAGCCTATTAGACTGGTATCATATCTGACATAGAAATCTCTGACATCAAAGACTGGTCAAAGTTCAATGGTCTTACATCAAACGGTCCGAACTCCTCCACCCGTGGTGTTGAATATTCATTCACAAAGATCTTACTGGAATTAAATTACATCAAACCAGTAAGAGTCTTGAAGGCCGTTTCTTACATTTATAATTCCAACATCTAAATAAAATTCCACATATTCAATATATATGGTCCGAATGAATACCCGGAGAAAGGTCCTTTCTTCGAACTTATATACATTCATATAAAAAAAAACACTTTAGTATTAACGAGCATTATATAATAATAGGAGATTTTAACCTCATCGAACATAAAAACGACGATAAGACTAACAAATTAATCAATCAGCCCATACCAG